GTATGCTGAAATTGAACTTAAAAGACTAGACTAATATCACTCTCAACAGTGAATAATAGTATTGCTAGATTTTATATCATAATGCTTCAGAATTAGCATTGGGTTTCTTAGTGTCTCTTCTTCTTCGGAGTATCTGTTCATTACATCTTGCATTATATAATCTGTTCCCGTAAATAGTTTTAAAAAATCTTCCCATGTGTGAATTTCTACATGTATATCTATCCTCTCTGTATTATAGGGAAAAACAAATCATAACAATACAGCAAAACAAATTCCTAGAAAAATATGCAATGAAAAAGACACATAAGACCACAATATTAGGTGATCTATCAGAGTTACTATGCTTTCTCTTGTTATTTTCAATAGACTTGTCCACATCATAAGGCTTAATATAGTTAAGCATAGTATTACATAGCTATTTTTATAAAAACACAACTTTGAAAACATTGTAGGACTTGAGAGCGGTTAATAATCAAAACTGGTATGGATATCTTTTACATCTTGTCATCTTCAGAGTAGTTGCCTCTACTTTTAGACTTGATACTATCAAGCATACCAAATTCGAATAAAATCCGCCAAGGCAAAACCGCGGTCTAACAAACCAGATTCAAATAAGATCAGCCATAGTAAGACAATGTAAGTAATACAGGATTTCAGTTTAAGTTAATAGGAAATTAAGGACAGTTACCATGCTATAACCTGCTATTTTTGGGTTAGATGTCTGTGCCCTCAAATCTGATATGAGTGGACAGACCAGAACAAAACAAATTCAAACTGAACAGAGCGATAAGGCTACTGTGACTTTTAAATCCTGATACACTATTAACAATGACCTCTGCCTCCCTTTTTAGGCTGTTTTTCACCTTTCCCCTTCTCAGGATGCTTTGTATGTTTTGGGTCTCACTAGCCCCTTTAGTTTTTAGATTAGGGGGCCAGCCTGTTGTCTATCTGAGTGTTGCTGAACCTTTCTACCCCTGAGCTTGATCTTGAGCTGTACTCCTTTACTCACTAAAGTCATAGGGTTTTCCTTCCTTCCAGCTGTATAGTTCTACACTGCCCAGAAGCGTCATAGCTTTCCAATCTATCTGTGGCTGCTGGATGAGCTGTCCCTATTTCTCTCTCGTTTCCTGTTGCATACAGCTTCGCTTTCTCATCTTTGACTTTCAGTTTATTAACCCTCCTTCGGGTTGAGTGTATTTCGCATTCAGAGCATCTCGATGGAGCCTGTCTCCTAATCTACTCTGCCTGTTTTCTTTATTTTAGTGTATCAAGGCTATCTATTCTAAAGATTATAGTTTACTGTCTCTGCCTCATGTCTGCTACTCCACTTTACTGCTATAATTTGTCCACCTTACTCCCTCATTCCACTGTCTGCCCCATTCATTGAGGCCTCTCTGCCACTGTTGCTGGAATCCTGGTATCCCTTCCTCTCTCTGGAATGTCCTTTAGTATTCTCTGTAGGGTTGGGTTGGTGGCCATGAACTCCCACAGTTCCTCCTTGTCTTGGAAACATCTTATTTCTCCATTAATTTTGAGAGAGAGTTTTTCTGGGTACATCAGTCTTGGTTGCAAAAAATTCTTTTCTTTCAGGGCTTGGATAATTTCAAAAATTTTTCATAACAGAACCTAGTCTGAACCCACTTGACAGTAAACCTGAAGAGAAGGCATTTCTAATCTTTATTCATACCATTTAATGTAAATATTCATGAGCTACATTATAGAAATATTATTTTGCTTTTTGCAGAGCTGAGGGTTGAATTCAGGGCCTCAATATGCTAGGCAAGCAAACTATTACCAAGTTAAACCCCCAGTCCCAAATAGAAATATTAATGTATTTGATTAAGGACTAAAGCTGTGACCCTGTTGGTCATATCCTATAATAAATGGGTGACATGCATGAGTTTATTAAGTTATTGGAATATATGCAGCATTTTAAAAACAGATTTGAATTCTGTAACAGATCTGGCTCAGGGTTTCGTATGTGGGATTATGGACCTGGACCCGAACAGTTATAATTTGGCTGTATCAACTATTCAGTGTTTGCATTAGTATGACTATGTCACTATATATTATATTCCACACTAAGCTACATTATGTATGGCAATTACTATTCATGTCAAAACCATACACCTTATAGATAAACTCATTTAAAATCAGTTTAAAGGGACTGCCTGGCATGTGCAAAGGCCTGGGCTTGATTCTTAAAATTAGGTTTCAGAGGGATAATATAAGCGCGTCTAATAGGAATTTTATCTAATGTTTTTCTTATGTGGTATTTGAAGTTTAAAATGAGTATCCCTTCCTTGAAGTCTCAAATTGCATCTTCTCAGTGACAATTTCCAAAAGACATGCCTTCATCATCTTCCTATCATCTTCTTTTCATGCTTTATCAATCAATATAAAAAGTACTGTATTTTTATTGTGTGTGTTGGTGGTGGTTAGCCTAGGTCTCAGAGCGTCACACACGTTAAGCTATGTATGTGTTCTACCAATGAGCTACATTCCCAGTCCTGAAATATATTTTTAAATTTGATCATGTTATATTTTCCCACACATAGTTCCATTAGAATGTAAGCTTCACAAGAGGGTAGAATTATTTTTTCTGTTCTGTTCTGTTCCATTTCTACCATTTAGAATGGTTCACAAGCTACAGTGGGTTTTCAGTAGTGATTGTGTCAGTAAATGGATTTTTCTTTGTGAAGTATAGGAAATCATTAAGAGTGAGGGAGATTTAACTCAGGAAAGACAAGTGCCACACAAGGGAATTTTGCTCACTTTTGGCTATAAAACTTTGTATAACTGCTTTTCTAACAACTTGAACTGAATACATTAACTAGACTCAGAAAATAAAATTTTTCTTCTTGGGTTGGGTGTGTAGCTGAGCAGTAAAATGGATTAGGATTATGATGTGATCAGAATTGAGAAACAGAGAGATATCCCAGTGTGTGCACTTGATATGGCTATCCAGGTTCATTAATGAACAGATTTGGGGAGTTAAAGCAATAAAGAGATGAGCTGATATGGACATGTTCTTCTTGTATCCTCTGAGGAGCAAACTGCCAATTAGAGAAAAACTAGATAGAATGCTAATAATATACCAGTATCTTTTAATTTATTTCCTACCTTACAACTACCATAATGCAATATTGCTATTAATACTGGTCTTACTGATAAGACTATAATGCTTGTATTGTCAAATATGTGGGAAAATAACAAATATTGCTATATCTGTAAGTTTCAGTCAGGTATGATCCTTTTGTTATAAAGGATCATGTAGTGGAAGGGGTGGGGATGGGGAGGAAAGCAGTGGCCTGCAATACACAAAAAAAATATATTTGGTCTTCTGGGGAGTGAGGAAGGAGAGTTGTTGGCACAGATCTTTCAAAATCTTTAGAATTTTCTGAATGATAAGAATGCCTGCCATGCGAATGCAGTTACTTTTGGAGGAAAGGACCTAAGTAGTATCAGGATTCAGGCTGGTTGTCAGAAAAATCAATCAATCACTAGATCTTGAAGCATAGGAGGGACCTGGGGATTGAGTTCAACTGCAGGATATTTCATTATGCCCATGTAACAAACTCTGATTTAAAAAAAAAAAAAAAAAAAAAAACCACCATCTCAGGGCTAGGCAGAACTTCTTGGTTGGAGTCTTATGGTAGTTTCTCTACTGCTACTGAGACACAATACCCAACACTCACAATTTAAAGAAGGAAAGGTTTATTGTGGCTCACAGTTTGTAGGTTTCAGTCCATAATCGTCTGGTTCTAAGGCAGGGTGGCATGGCAGAGGAGAAAAGCAAACAGGAAGCAGCAAGACTTCCTTCTTTCTTTCTATACCATCCAGGCAATAAGCCTATTTATTCATGGTGCCACCCATACCCAAGGTGGGTCTTCCTTCCTCAGTAAATCCCTTATCTACACCTAGAAATATGCTACACCAACAGTGGACTAATTCAGTAACATATTTATGACTTAGTCACAACTTAAGAAAGAGGGCTGCTGCATTTCTCACTGCTTTTTTACTACTTTGCTGTTTGCTTTTTACATGCCATGAACTGTTTGTTCTCTGCAATGCCCCTCTGCCATGCCACTCTGCCTTGGAGCTAGGCAACTATGAACTGAAACCTCTACAAATTGTGAGCCAAATAAACCTTTCCTCCTTTAATTTTGGGTTTCAGGTATTTTATCTCAGCAACAAGAGAATAACTTTAACTTCCCTTCCTTTCCCCCTCTACCCTGCTCCTCCTTTCTCCTATATCAACGATGGCGAACCTATGGCACACATGCCACAGTGGGCTGTCTGTATCATTGAAAGCTCTAAAAGGTTTGCCATCACTGTCCTATACCTTGCATCTCTTCCATGGGGGAGTTCCTGAGTTGAATACTTTTAATGAAACTAAGTAAAAGCTTTCAGTGAGTTCTATGACTTATCCTAGGAAATTATCAAATGTGAAGGGAGACCATGAGAATCCCCAAATGTATAACCAAGACAGACCAAGTGCACGGAACCTGAGACTTCAGGGTAGTGTGGGGGCTCCACGTGCAGGTGGTATCTGAAGGAAGAGCAGTCTTGTTAGGAGCTGTCTTAATCACTTTCTCATCATTGGGACACAAAGCCTAACGTACACAACTTAAAGGAAGAGAGGTTTATGCTGGCATATGTTTTTAGTCCATAGTCTCTTGACTTCATGACTGAATGGCACAGCAGAGAGGCATAATGGAGGAAAAGCTGCTTAAGACAGGGGAGCAAGGAAGCAGAGAGAGAAGGAAAGACCGGGGAGGAGATGTATCCTTGTCTCTTCTAACAGAACCTGTCTCCAAACAGCAAGTCAGCTATGCCACCCCATAATTCAGTCACCTTCCAAAAGCCTCACTTAAGAACACAGGAGGTTCCTGAGGGGCATCTAGGTATAAATCAGAACAGGGGTGCTGCCATTTAACTTACAGGATCTGGTGCTAACTCCAGGTAGTGTGAGAACTGAATTGCAGAAAAACAGAGAATTGTTTTTACAACACAGACCTACTTCATTTTTTATTAAGGTAAAATATACATAACAAAAATTAACCGTTTAAGTATTTTTCTTTTTAACTTTTCACTGAAATGTAACAATTTAAAAAACATATATAAGCTTGAAAGTGCAACTTATAAGTAAACAATGCAATCAGATTTCACAAATTGAACATCTGGCATCTGGAGCAAGAACAGCATATTCCAACATTTTCAAAAAGAAAAAGAATGAACTTAAAAGTAAATATTTCTATAAAAGAAACTTAGAAACTTAAGTAATTAAAACGGAAGTAAAAGAAGTAATTCCTTTCCCACACACACACAACAGTGTAGCATTTCCAAAAACAGGCTCATGGAAGACTTTTTAAAAAAGTATTTGTGTTACTATTAAAGTGCTTTTGTGGTAATAATAACTTTGGGACATACTGAATTAAGCACAGTCAAACAGATTTATCACCTAATAAGAGTTTCACAAATTCAGAATCTATGACCTATTGCTAGGAGAATACATCTTGCTCATGCTAGATGTTTATAAAATTATGGAGACATTATATATAACAAAACTTACCATCCAAAAAAACATTTTCAGTGCTAGGGATTAAACTCAGAACTTCCCAAATGCTAGGCAAGCACTCTACCACTAAGGCATATTTGCAGCCCTTTTAAAATCATTTTTGAGAATATAATTCAGTGGCATTAAAATTCAAAAATGTTGTACAACCATTGCTGCTACCCATTTCCATAATTTGTTCATTCCAAACAAAAACTCCATACTCATTAAACAATAAACACCCAAGTTTTCCTCTTCCCTAGTCCCCGATAACCACTATTTTCCTTTTCTTTTCTATGAACTAGCTGATTCCAGGTACCTTACAGAAGTGGGATGATATGATATATGAACTTTATGTTGGATTTATTTCACTTAGCCTATTTTTTCCAAGTTCATCTATGTTGTAGCACGTAGCAGAATTTACTTCTGCTGAATTATACTCCATTGTATCTGAATACTACACTGGTTTATATTCACATATCTGTTGATGGACATTTGAGTTTTTCTACCTTTTGCTATTCAAAGAAAGCTACTCTGAACTTTGGTATCTAACAAGTATCTAAATCATTATATATTTTCACAAATTTATCTGTATGCCTTGGCATAAATAAGCTCTTATAGGCACTTTACAATTTAAGAGGTCAAACAAAAATTAGTAACATTTTGAGTAGTGTTTTATTATCAGCTTTAATATTTGATCATGCTTAAAGACTCAGGAATAAAGTAATGAACAAAAAATGGAATGTAATCAACACTGCATAGGTTTAGAGAAGTTACAGAATGCTTTGTTAAATATTATACTAGAAAATATAAAAGTTGAAATTATATCAATTATTTTGTGCTTACTCTTTCTGATTATACTTTAAGTATCAAATACACAGAAAGTACTTATAAGTAAAATTATGCCTTTTTCTTTTAAAACCAAAACATGCTTATCTTTGGTTAATCAGAATTAATTTACATTTTTCTTAAAAGTTGGCAAGATATTTAGTGCTTTAGACTTGTATTCTTGCTGGACTGGCTGCTTGATCGCTCTCGTTCTTTAGTAATTTCCATCTGAATTTTGACTTTGATTTTCTCCCAATCTATTTGGAGCTACAACAGAAAAAAGGAAGAAGTGTACTTATATAGTATAAGATTTTTAAAATCTAAAATGACCAAGAATCAAAATGGAATGTAATCAACACTGATCAAAAATAGAATGCATGACTTCTAAAATATTAGAGAAAAATATGAACATTGACGAAAACATGACAGTGCTCAAAGTCAGGACATATCTTTAAGAATAACACCAAGCAGACAATTGTATAATAAAAAAAAGACTCTCAATGTCATATAAAAGACGTGAATCTAGTTGTAGCTGTTTATAAAAAGCATATAGATACAGTCCCATAGGTTCTCAGGATTCCACAGAATTCTGCAGGGACAGTTGAGAGAGAAGGTAGACAGCTCTCATCCAAATGATGAAACACACTCTGTCCACTAAACTATGGTTCCAACAAGTTAACATTTATATATTATATTTATATAATATATATATTTATATATATATATTTATATATTAAAATTTCCATTAGAAGCCTAGCTATGAGAAAAGATAGCAAAACATCAGAAGAACCTGAGCACATTTTATACAAATGTCTCCTCTGCAACAACTCTTAAAGAAATATAAAGACACAGCAGCCACAAAGACAAAGAAGAGAAGGTATCACAGGAAGCAGAGGAAAGGCAAGACTGGGAGACACATAAAAACAACAACAGTGAACAGTGGAAGCTTTTTATGTTTGTATCCCTTCTGTCCATGATGCAATCTCCCCTCCCCTAGTCCAGGCCTCCCCCTCTGCAAGTACACTAGCCTTGAAGTTAGGAAAGGACCCTGCCTCTGAGTTCTACCAGCAATTTCTCTAGGAAAATACAGTCCACTATTTAACACAATTTAGAGATTATTTACTTGGGAAGGTGTGACCTATCAGAGGCAAGACATGGGAAAGATTGGGTCCTAGATTAAACTGATGTACTATGAAATAAACTCAACCCCCATGGCTGCAATTGAGTAAGGGGTAAGTTTTCATTTCCAGATAAGGGAGTTAAGTAATATTAAATTGTATTAAAGCATTACTTTCTGTCAAACACATTTATCTTAAATAACTGAGAGACTAACATTAATAATACTGTATGTCTTGAAGTTAAGAAAGGACTCTGCCTCTGAGTTCTACCAGCAGTTTCTTTAGGAAAATACAATCTACTGTTTAACATCTGCAGATCATTTATTTGGGAGTTCTGGGAGTTGGTGGAATTAAATGTTAGGTTCTTTCTTTTTCAGTATTCTAAATCTAAATTTCTATGAAGTAATTTGTGGATATTTTGGGTCATCTTTTTAAGAAAATAGTAATCCTACATATTTAACCTATAACACTAAAGTAAACAAATTAATACTTCCTCTTATTCTAGGAGATAAAATCTGTGTTTTCAAAACAAAAGTCTGTGCAAAGATACAAGTGATTGACTGCAGAAAAGCAGAGCCAATGATAGATTATTTGAAAGATTCATTTTCAATCAGGCCTCAACTTGGTATTTTCAAATGGCAAAACACTTGTTTCCATGTCTAACAAAACATTCATAAAGAAGAAGACAAAAGCTGATGAATGTTTTGGCCTTCTTCCAGACTTAAATTGACTTACATATATTTCTCAAATCAATCACAATACAACCACTGATTGGTTACATTGAACTGTTGTTGGGTTGCCCCAGATGTCTGTCAACTGAATTGATGACATTCATGCTAGTTAACTTGTTGTAATTCAAAGAAGGCATCAGTTGTTAGCTATCCTACAGAAAATAAATGTTGCACTTCCATTCAGGCATTTATCCAGTTTTAAAATAGAGTTCTCCAGCCGTTGGGTATGAATATTTTGAATGGGTGTTAGATAAGGATATTCTTTGATAGTTGTTAAGTGACTTCCACATTAAAAATCCATCTTTTTGCCATATGGGGTTTGCCAATACTATCTGGTACTTCTTATTTTGGTCCCTCATCAATACTTAATCACATAGACGCTATTTAGTTCCCATCATAAACCTCCATATCTCTCTCAGTGGAAAGTCAGTTTCCTGCTTTACAGAGAATACAGTAGCAATCAGCATGAATTCATTTAATTTTGTTTCCTTGTACTCATAAACTTACCTGTACTGTACTCATCTTGCTCTTTCTCTTCTGTCGGGCTAACCTCTTCATGTGTCTCTAATCCCAGCTTCAACTCCTCTAGACCACTGCCTTCAATTATTACATGTTCGATTTCCTTCTTATCTTCTTTGCCTCTATTTTCCTGCAGGCAACCCACCTTTATTCTCTTCTTTCCCCTCATCCTCTCCAAAGACTTCTGTAATACTGATTGTGTTCCTATTTTATTTCAGACACTAATTTCCTTTCATGATGCTGCTGATGGAACCCACGACCTTTCACTTCTGGCATCTCTGCCACTGAACTTCATCTCTAGCCCCAGACACTATTTGTTAAAGACACTATCGGCTGTTTTTAGTTCTTATCCCATGTACTTTCTTTGTGTGCTTCAATTATTCAACAAATATTGAGCACGTAGTATATTTCAAGTATTATCCTAGGTAAAAAAATTCAGCAGTGAACAAAAAGATAAAAACCACTATGTTTGTGGAGAGATAATAAAGATGGATAATAATGGAAGGCACAGGTAATAAAATAAAAAATAGTACAAAATGCTTTTGTATCTAAAGTTATCTTTCAAGTTATTCTCTTGATTATAAACTTCCTGCTGAGTTTAATAACGATGTCCAGTCTCTTAACATGGTATTAAGATTTTAATGTCTGACTCAGCCAATATTCTAATCACCTCTGACCCAGAGCAGTCACTAGGTTTCCTCCCCCTTCTTTCAAGGGTCCATACATTTGCTCTTATTATTATATCCTCAAATGATTTATAAAATATTAGGATAATTTTAATTTTAAATGGAAAAATTTTAACTTCCCACTTACTTTTCCACTTTTAGAACCAAGTTTTTAAAAAGAAAAGGTGACCATGTTACTTATTATTATTTAGCTTGCCTCTGAAATCCTGGTCAATCTGTTATGTTTAATCATTTTCACTTCAAAGCTTCCCATCCACCTGGAACAGGTCTTTTCCCATTCCTAGCCACACTCTCAGTCAGCTTCCACTGTTCACATTAGACAGCTCAGAGCAATTATTTGCTTTGCTTAAAAAAAAAAAAAGGAAAGGAGGGCAGGAGAGAGGGATGGGGTGGGGGAGAGACTGAGGCTTTGCTGATCTCCACCTAGGTCAGGCTCCCCATTCATAGTCTTACAGTCCCATGTATACCCTCTTCAAGACAATTATCAGAATTGAAATTAACTATACAACTATCACTCCCATTTAAATATAAACTTCAGTTTGTGTCTGTCATGTTTACCATGTCAAACACCAAGAAGAGAATAAAAATTCTCTAAGGAGGCACTCAATAAATAATGAATGAATACAAAGTAAATAATTACACAGAAAGTGAGTTATCATTGAACAATTCGTACTCATAAGACCTTAAAACAGACCCTGAAAGGCAGCTTGGTAGTAGTTATGCCTATGGTAATTTTTCCTAACTATGATGTAAACTCTTCTGGATGTTCTTCAAATTTCTGTCCTTTCTGAAATTCTGCTCATAAATTCGGTTTTTTTCCTACTCTTTTTCCTAATATAATGTTTTAAGCATTTCCTGGTTTTCTTCTTACATAAAGTATGTGTTCAGCAGACTGAATTCAGCAGACTGAATATATTTTTTGAGCTGACTATATTCCCAAACTTACAAAGTATTTTATAATATTTAATGAACAGCACTGTGTAAGTACAATGACTCTAAAAACTTAGATTCTTGGAAGACATTACCTTATATAGTCACAGATTTCCACATTTTAAATTAGAAAAACTCAACATTTCAAAGCTCATAAACATAAATGTATATCAAACTTCTTGCCTCTTCCCTTAAATTGTTAGGATTCCATTCATTTATATATTTCTGCATATTCAACCCACCAGAATTCACCAGATACCTAGGATTTCTCAATTCTTTTAAGTGACACTTGTCTATTCAACTTTAGTTCTAAAATGAAGTTGATATAATTTTTACAGATAGTTAAGCATGGTTGATAAATTATGATTATAGAGCTAAGTGAAATCAAAAGATCAGAAAGTAGAGTGGATGTCCCCATAAGTTATTTGCTCAATAGTGGGAAATTTTTAAGTAAAAATTAATTTTCATCTTAAAATACTATTTTCCAATTTTCAGTTAACTTCCAAAGGGCATTTAAGAAGAAGAAAAGTAGGAAACTATAATACAATGGGAGAGAGTCAAAGTAAAAAGTTTCAGGAAAGAAACGTTTCTGAAACAAAACAAAACACTTAAGAAAATCGTGTCTGGTTATCTCACTTTTGAAATTCCTGTTACCTTTTTGATTGAAATACTGTATTTCCTAACAGTTAAATACATTTATCTGCATATACCTGCTAAGTATACACATGTGCACGCACGTGCGCACACACACACGTACATACAGTGTTTTCTATTTAAAATATTTTATTTAGGGTCCTTACCCTAAATTTTATATTCTATATTTCTTGTATTTTCAAAAGTATCTAATACACTCTGAGAGATAGAGACAGGAGGATCACAAATTTGAGCCCATCCTCAGCAACTTAGCTACTTACTAACACCCTCTTTCAAAATAATTTTAAAAGGGTAGGAGATACAGCTTTGGGTGAAAGTCCTGGATTTAATCCCTAGTACCACACACAAAAAAGCAATGTGAAAATATTGAAAAAATACTGATGATGAGAACCAAGAAACAAAGTAAGCATTAATCTGCTTTAAATTATACAATAAAGGGCTGAAGATTTAGGTGTAAGTGCCTGCCTGGCAAGTGCAAGCTCATGAGTTCAATATGTGGTACCAAAAAATAAATATATAAAACAATAAAATTTACTGTGGGTGCTCAGGGTTTTGTTTTGTTGGCTACTGTAACACCAGGGTCTCATACATGCTAGGTGAATGCTGTAAATCCCAGATCAGGCGCTCAGTTTTCAAGACTACGACAAAACAATCAGGTATAACACAGGCTCCTTAACACTGTACATGAGTTGTTGTTATATTTTATGAATTACAATGCAGTATCTGACATTCCAGGGACCCAGAGGTTGTCCTTACAGTAGAAAAAATTCTATAACAGTTTTGGACTATTAAGTCCAAAATCCTGCACTAACTTCAGTACTAATTTGTGGTGCTTCTATAAAGTATGTCCCCTTTCTACCACAAAACCTACAACTTGTAGCCATCCTAGCTACAGATTAAGAAAGTTGCACTGCTAAATAAAGTGACTCTCAAATTCTCATTACCCTGAAACTTATTTTGAAGTCCAAAAATGTAGACTCTACCCCCAGTAGTATTCTAATATAATAAACAATGTTTTAGAAGCCAGATGTCTTCTCTCTATTGCTCTTTCCAAGTTTCTTCTATCTTGCCTTTGGGATGCTCAGAACATTCTGTGTTGTATTAAAGTACCCTATCCCAAGAAGCATTGTCCCCACATTGTACACCACGGGAAGATGGAGGGTGCTTGATTCAGTATCAAGCACAGTGCCCAGCCCAGCTCAGAATGAGATCTCATAAATATTTTTTTGGAATAAATAAAGTGCTAAGCAAACACTCACAGAGCTGGAATCATGGTCCAACCTGTCTTGGAATTACAAGTCCTCAAAGTCAAATTTCTCGGATCTTCATGGCTAGCAAGATGAACTTATTATTGCTGTCTAACCCTTGAGGAGCTGGGTAAGTAGTCACATTAGTTATGCTCTAGGTGATAGGGCAAACTCTTGTGTTTGGCTCTCCTTATGGGCTGATGTACACTGGAATTATTAATTTCTAATTGGAGTAATAAAATCTGAAATTCTGGAAGAAATCGGGGAGGCAAAGATTACAAGCTTTTTTAGGGAGAAGAACCATTTTTAGTCTACCTAGGTTAGGCACTTCTGTGAGATTCAAGCAACCCCCTAAGATTCTGCAAAATGAGAAAATACGTGTTTTTTGGCCAGTGTCTTCTGGCCATATTTTTTCTGGAGTATAAGGGGCAGCTGGGGGAAGACAACAATTCAAGAATTAACTTTTATCCTAGATGTTTATTTTACTATCTAAAACTTATCACCTAATCTTAAAATAAATTGAATATTATTAAAACAGATTTGACTTAATCAGAATATGCCTATAAGAATACAGAAAAAAAATTAGTGCTACGCAGTCATAAAATAACGACAAAACCATAAGGCAAAAAGCAATTCTTTTAGAAACTATGGTATGGTTGTCAAATATGTATAAAGTATATATATTATTATACAATTTTTTATAATACTTACACCTTCTGCATATTGCAAATATCGTTCATTCGTTTCCTTTTTACCAAATGTTTCTAAAAACTTTTGACGGTAAGCAAGAACTGTATCAACATGTGTTTTGTATTTTACAGCCAAGTCCAGTGCCCTGTAATGAGAAATAAAACAGATTATCAGTATTGCTTCTGTCAGACTGCAAAGACAGTACAGCGTTAGTTAGGGGAAAGAGTAAATAGTTTTTTCCTCTGCTTATTCTGCACTATGAAGTATCATTTTTCACCTTACTCATCTTGCAAACTGCTATTCTTTAAGGTCCAGATTCAACTCCTCCTCCTTGACAACTCTCCTCACAAAAACAAGTATTATTTATCTTCCATATCATTTACATACACAATTATTATAGCCCTGCTTAATGTGTGTTATAACCGAGTCTGTTCCCTCCACTAGCCTATATATTGATGGGAGGGATATACAGGTTTCATTTCTATTTGGTGAATACTATAAATGCCATGTGTCATAAATAAATGTTCCTTAGAGAACTTTTTGAAATCATAAAATGCAAGTATATGAACTTCATTTGAATTCAACTATCCTTATATTTATAAGCTTATAATAAATTTAAGAGTTCAAAGTTGATAACATCACTAAAGTTAAAAAAGTCACGAAATAAATTGAAATTAAGAAAAATCTCACAAAAAGCTTTGTTATTTGAGCTAGAAAAAGTTAAGCAGCCATTCAAATCAATATCTATGCAACTAAGTTATTTTTGTCATATTTTATTCAAATAGAACTAGTGACAATGAAAACAGACATACAATACTGAAGATACAAAACACACATTGCTGGTAATTTTTAAGGAAATAAACAGGTTAAAATGCAAGTCAAGGCTTACTTGTACAAGTACGTATTGGCAGCACCTCACCACTGCAACCCTGCCCACAGCTTATTAGTTAGTCAGGAACAGCCCGGTGGAATAAAGCACTCCCACAATATTTGGTCATTTTCTTTTAAAGCATGGGCAACATTCATCGTAATAGTCAAAAGTACACTACTTCTCAAGTTCTCCTGCTTTCTGACATGTGACTCCCAAATAATCCAGTCATGATTTATCAGAGCCAACTGTTAATGATGTTAGTTTAGACAAAATTTATTAGTGACTAAATATTTTTCAACTTGTCACTCTTCAGTATGAAAATCTACTTTATTTTTAGTATATACTGTCCTACATTAACCAAACTAATTGCTTTCAAAAGTATTTTAGATATGCTGTATGTATTGACTAACAGTTGATAAACAATTCAGATACTAAAGACAAATGAAAACATGACTGTAATTTAACAAAGTCAAATTAACCAAAATTATTTCTCCTCAAAACATACTCATATATACTATTATTGTTAAAGACAAAGGTCAGTATTTGCTACCCATCATGGACTCTCACAAATTTCTATCTCTTCTCTGTGATTTTCCTAAGTCTTCCAGAAAAAAAAGAAATTAAGTTGAAAGGATGTAAAAGTACTAGAATAGAGAAATGAAAGAGGAAAATAAAAAAATTCAAAAAGTAATTGAAAGAGGCTCAAAAGAAGAAAAATGAAAGTCAAAATTCTCAATCCTTTCTCACATATATTATCTGTGTATCTGTCTTAGTTACTTTTCTTATCGCTAAGACAAAATCATAAACCCAAAGTTAATGGAGGAAAGGTTTATTTGGCTCACAATTTGTAGAGTTTTCAGTTTATAGCTGACTGGCTCAAAGGCAAGGTGGCATGGCAGAGGAACATTGCAGAGGAGAAACAGTTCATAGCAGGCAGAAGGCAGAAGGTAGCAAAGAATAAAGCAGTGACAAGCACCCAATGACAAGAGCAGCCCTCTTTCTGTCCCTTACATTCTATCCAGGCTACTCGCCCTTAGGGCAGGTAGCAGTCACCCAGGGTGGGGCACCCTTAATCCTAGCATCACAGCAAGGATCGGTCCCCACATCATATCCTTAATCCAAGCATTACACACTTTTGATCTGTCTGAAAAACCCCACTTATGGCCACATGAGGCTTTGAGAGACATCTAAATATAAGTTATAACAACATCCCTAGACTCTAATTCCATTAGTGTATGTGTAGGCAAAGATTCTGGTGAATCTTCCTTTCTGCACCCTATTGTACATCACAGGAAAGGAAATTCTGATTGTGTAAAACTGAAAGTATTCTAAATAAGGAGGACATAAGCAACTGTTCTAATCTGAGGCTTTTCAAAAGTCCTAACATCAATACATTTCATTTTTCAGAAAGAACAGATGATACCTGCTCCTATAGTTAGATGCTACATCCTAAGAATTAGATATCATTATTGTCATTCGATATTAATAAAACATGTATTAATTATCTGATTGAAGAACCAATGACTAAAGGAAAACATTTAAGTGATAATGTGCTATTTTAAATGTTCTCTAAAAGCATACACTGGGTAGAGAATATTTCTTTGTCACATTTAAGAGGGAACCTACTCCAAATTATATAAGAGGTTTGGGAACAGTATGTCTCTAGCTTTAAAATGGCTATTTGGCAACCAAACAAATGTGACATTAGATTCTAGGGCTGGAATAAATCCATGTATTTTAAATAGAAGGAAGTTATATAAAGAGATGTTATAATTTCAAAATAACAATCTTTTAGTCAGGCATGGTGGCACATGCCTGTGTCCCAGCTAACCAGAGGCTGAGCAGGGAGGATCACTTGAGCTCATGAGTTTGTGACTAGCCTGGGCAATTACAGTGAGAAATCATCTCAAAACAATAACAAGGACTCGGGGGTTAGCTCAGCAGCATAAGCATCTGCCTGGCAAATGTGAGGTTGTGGGTTTGATCCCCGGTACCAAAAAACAAAGAATGATCTTTGCATAATTTGAATGAATCAAACTTATTTTGTAAAACTGCAAGATGAGAAATTATTTTTATTAGCTGAGTATGGTGGCACATATCTGTTTCAACATTCTGGGAAGCTGAGACAGAGGGATCACAAGTTTAAGCTTATCCTGGACAATTTACAAATTTGTTAAGACCCTGACTCTAAAAAAAAAAGTTTTAAAGTTCTAAAGAATGGCTACCATGATGCCTTGTTATCTTCAAAACAGCTGTGCACAGACATAGTTACGTAAAATTAACCAAACAATACAAGAACTAAATTGTTTTACTTCAGTTGTGATCTTTTCAGAAATTATAGGTATATGACTACTAATTTTTTCTATGTCTGCGTTTCCTGAACTTGTTCTATGTGGGCTGGAGGTCTGAGATTATATTTTGCTCCTTTGTCTTGACATTTTCCTGTGTTCCTCCAAATCAGCCCATTGCTACATCATGGCTACTTCCTGCATTGGCTGCCAGTCCCTCAGTATAGTGATTTGTCTACGCACCTAGGTTTCTCCAATCTGGGGTTCCTGGAGTGGTGGAGATGCACAGGGCACTGGTTAACCAATGCTCCCCTATGGCAACAGGGTCTTGGGATGTGGCTGCTTCTCTGGGCCCACAATGAGCTCCCTGGATCTCCCTGGGCTGCTGGTACATGGACTTGGGGGGTGGCTTCTTCTCCAGGCTGGTACCAGGCTTGTGGGATCTCTCCAGGCTATTGGCATGTGCCTTGGGAAGTGGCTTCTTCTACTTGACTCCATTTGTTCACAGGTTTGGTTCAGCTGGTATTTCTTTGCTGATTTTCTGTCTAGTTGATCTGTCTCTCTGTGATAATGGGGTATTGAGGACTTCTGTTACAACTGTGTTACTGCTCATTTTATTTTCCATGTCTACCACTAACTGTCCTATATAGTTGTATGCTCCTGTATTAGGTGATTATTTATTTATAATATTTATTTATATTATTTATAATATTTATTTATAATACTTGTGCTGTCTCCAGCTTTCTCATTGACCCCAATCAATCGTGTTATTATTGTTTTGTCTTGGAGCTGTTGGATTGATTTCACATGGTCTATTGGTATTTTTGATATGTGTTTCTTTTCATGATCATTAGCTGCAATTCTGTCTTCTTCAAAATCTGAAATTCTATCCTTTCCTCACTCAATCTATTGCACATATATATACACATATATATGTATATATATATATGTGTTTGTGTGTGTATAATTTGGGGGGGGGGGTCTGTTGAGACAGTGTCTCCTATGCAGTTCAGGCTGGCCTTGAACTCACTTTGTAGCCCACGCTGGCCTCAAACTCACAGCAATTTTCCTGCTTCAGCCTCCTGAGTGTTGGGATTACAGGCATATGCCACCATGACTGGCTCTGTTGTATATGCTTTCAATGGGGGTTTTAATCTCCTAGATCTGTTTGAATCTGTTTCAGGGATTCCATTTCTCTCCTATGTACGGCATTTTTGTTTTCATCTTTTTCTAAGCTCATCTATTCTTCTATTTGTGTCTTCTCCTGTATGTCTGTTTTAAACATTATTTCTTTTTGTACTTGAGAGATCATTTTCTCTATACCCTTTCCCACTTGTTTTTCCACTTCTGTTGTCATCATTTCAGAAAGTTCCAGTGTTCGATTTCTAACTTCATCCATCTTGTTAAGTTCCGGGCCTATTCTGGGTGTGCTAGGGATCTGGGGCCATACCCTTCCTCTGCGTCTTGCCATTTTCAACATTTTCTTTTTTTTTTTTTTTTTGTCTTCTACATTGATGCCCACCAACTTCCCATGATATAGAGCCCTACCACTAGCATTGGGGCCTCTTTCAAGGAAGAAAGGAGATGTTCATTCCTCAGGGATGTTCTCCAAATATAGCTGGTTCTTTATAGCTATCCCAAGAACAACTTCTGGTGTTTACAGTTCTGTGATAATGTCCAAGTTACATTACTGAGACATGCTGCGTATGGAGCCATTCTTAGCCTCTGGATGTGGAGGAACATGTACCTAAATTCTAATCTAAGAAAGTTATATAATATAGTCTTATAAATGAATGAAACAACAGTATTTTTGAGTATAGAGTGAAACAGATCAAGAAGGATAATTTGCACCTGGGAAAGTACGTCAATAAGCACCACATGTTCACTGGGAGACAAAACCTGTGAGAATGAATGGAAGAAACTATCAGAGAATAGCATGCTACTCTGTCTCAGAAAGCATCTGTCTGAAAGTCTAATGAAGAAATAAAGGTTGCTGCTGAGCACTCCTAGCTATAAATCCTTTCTTGTTTCTTCTTAAGCATCCCAAATCCTCATCTCTTCTTTTCTCTGCCTCTCTGACTGCATTATGATACGTTAGGTAGATTTTCCTTCTTTCACTCACCCCATAAAGGCAGTTGATACTGTCCTTTCAGTACTAAAATAAAAAATCTGGGAGACTTTGTAACTCTGTTTTTCTTTTTCATACCCCAACTTCTAATCAGTTAGCAGGTCATAGAAGGATACATCTTTGACTCCAAATTACTCATGAATATAAACAAAAAAATTCTGTGATATTAGCAAACTACTACATGCAATGGAAAACGGAATTTACTAAGTGACAGAAAAATACATTTAGGTCAATAAGATTTTTGGCAATGAGGAAAAACATTTTATTACCTTTCCCAGTTATACAGATTAATATTGATCTGGATTGCTTGATAAACAAGGCCAGCCTGAAGAAGTACTATTTCAGCCTCCTGTATATTCCCACTAAACAGTAGTATGTGGGCCATTTTTGATTCTTTGGATGGAAGATCTTTCATAGAATTGATGTACTGAACTTTATCCATCTAGAAAAAAAATTTTAGTAGATAATAAGCAATATTGCAAATTATGGTGACTAAAAAATACACATGTTCATTTATGTAAATATTATTTACTTACTTCACCAATGGCTGCATAAGCTATTTCTGCAGTAGTCATATCTCGATTAGCAACTGCCATCGCAGCTAGGCAAGCCCACATAGTTTGCTCCTAAAGGAAAATATGAAAACATTGTCTCAACTACATGGTTGAACTACCTTAAAATAAATAGTGATGTAAATAATAAAATAAGACACTTTTATAAAGGAAAAAATTAAGGAACACAGAACTGAAAAAACTAATTAAAAGTTAAATCATGTAGAAATTTCATTGTGGCTATTTTGTTAAAATATGTTAAGAATACATAATAAACTCCTTTCAAGTAAATTTTTCTAAAACCGTTTTACTTCTAATTATCAAAAGATTTATTTATTTTTGTGATTCTAAAGATTGAGCATAAGCCCTTCTACACACTAGCAAAAACTCTACCACTGGGTTACAGACCCAGTCCAAGAATTTAGTTTTTAACTTAAAATAACTCAAAGTCACAAAACATTCAGTCTTTCTGATAAGGTGGCAAAAATCATAACTTACAAGTAACCAGAGGAACAGGAGGTTTTCAGATAATGATATTATGGCAGATAACCATCAATAAATCATTGCAGGGGAAAGAATCTAAGTACTATGTCATAAAACTGTATACTAAATAATGTTATCTGATATTTAATAATAGAGATCTATGCTCAAATATCTTTGGAAAATACTAAATTTAATCAAGCTAGAAAATGCTGATTTAAAGCAAATTTTAACCTAAGCTGTAAAAAATCATCTGAGGAATTATAAAAAGATGCCCAGTGCTCCTCAATATAGATCTAATGAATCAGAACCTCTGTGGTGATGAAACTTAGAAACTTGACTCGATGGGGGTGGGTACTAGGGATTGGACTCATGGTATTGTGCAAGCACTGGGCAAGCACTCTACTACTGAGATACATCCCAGCTTCTTTTTCAGATTTTAAGACAGGTTTTTTTTTTATGCTTTATGTCTAGCTGTCCCCCCACAACCTCATACAGTCTTAGATGGGGCTTTTTTAGAGGTGGCTGAGTGTAGAGTATGCAATGCTGAGATTAAGGATGTGTAGTTCTTAAACCCATCCACCAAATGCCTTACGTCCAGCAGTCTAGATACAATATTAAAAGGGCAGAAAGATGCTGTTAAAGTCTCATGTTGCTTTTGCTGCTGTTATGGTTTATGTTCAGGATGCTCCCCCCCCCCCCGCCCAAGCCTCAAGCAATCATGGACATGACCAAATCTAGCATTTGTGATTGGTTCATTGTCTAGTGCTCAAATAGGTGGTATGAGTGCTACACTTCCCCTAGGGGTGGAGCCAACATACAACGTAACAGCAGCAAGAAGGTGCGTCTTGTTCTCTTTTGCCGGCTCACACTTGCTGTTTGTAGCAGGCCATGAATGGCTGCCCCGCCATGCCACCCTGACACTTGGAGCCAGCTGAGTATGGATTGAAACTTCCAAAGCACTGTAACAAATAAACTTTTCTTTCCTTCTTGTTGGTTATCAGGTAGATCTTTGTCTCAACAATGAGAAAAAAGTAACCAAGACACAATTTGGTACCAGAGGAGTGGGGTAGGTGTTGTGACTATACCTGACCATATGGTTCAAAAGCCTTTGGAAATGGCTTGTAGGAAGAATTTGGAAAGGTTCAAAGATATAGCCTGAAAGAAAGCTGTTCTGTAGGGAAGATTCTGGTCACAGCTCAGGAGACCAGAAGGCTGATAAAAAGCCTGCAGGTAAAGACCAGGCTTGGGAAGTTTCTTCTGGGAAGGAGGACTGTATTGGTTGTTGGACTCCAGATGATGTGTGTTATGGCTTGGCAGAAGTTTGTCCGCATTTTGCTCATGTCCAGAGACTTTGCCTGAGACTGAGACTAAAGGTGATGGACTGATTAATCTGGCAGAAGAAATTTCAAGGCAGTCAAATGTTGAAGTGGCAGCATGGCTATTGTTGGGGGCTTTTAGCTGGATTTATGTTGCAAATCAAGAGCAAAGAGCCCAGCAGGATGATTTAAAATGTTTTGAGTTTATCCAGGAAGCCATGGACTATAAAGACATACCTGAGACCTCCATTTCTGAGAAGGAACAAAGAATAAAAAAGATGGCCTGGGGCCATCCCAAGAAGCAGTTGGTCTCTCTACCATTTGTAGTCTCAAAGTGGCAAAATTGAAAGAGTTTGATCCAAGGAGAAGGCTACAGAGTGGCACATTCCAGAGTGGCAATGGAGGCCACAGGAGGTTCCAAAATGGCTGCAGCTACACCAGATTCCAGAATGGTGATGGCATATAGAAGCTTTTCCTCACAGTTAGGTTTAGACAGCTGAGCAATCCAAGCACTCAACCCCTCCAGCCAAGAAAAAGGAAAGCCTGGCTACTGCTCCAGCTGGCAGTAGACCCTGACAGCATCCACATGATGCTAGTTTACTTTAAGTACAAGGAAAATACACAAGTTCTGAAGTTAAGGCAGCTTCCACCTGGATTTCAGAGGGTCTGGGAGGCTAGGAAGTATGCACCTGAGAGGGCAATATGTGAATCTACAAGTGTGAAGCCAAAGTTGCAGTGGAGACCCCAGAAGTTTGGAAAAGCCAGGAGCATAAATCATCCAAGGAAATTGAACACAATGGGCCTAAGAGAAAAGCTATGGGAGTTAAAACCCCTGAAAGTCCTGTGGCAGTAGAGTCACTCAAGCCTTTTGGAGCTCGCAACCAGATTGCTTCAGATGCTGTGTGGAACTCCAGGACTTAATGTTTACCCTGCTGGATTTTGGATTTGCCTTTGTCCCAATCCTTTGTACCCTCCTGTTTGTAACTTTTGGAATGGTAATGTTTATCTTGTGCCTTTGCATTTTAGAATTGTTTAATCTTATTTCATTTGTATAAGGGTCTACAGTTAAGAGTTTGCCAGATCTTAAAGGAAACTTGGGACTTGGACTTTTCAGCAATGCTGAAACTGTTAGTACTTTGGCAACTCTTAGAGATAGACTAAATGTCCTTTGTATAAAAGATGTGCATGAGTCTTTAGGAGGGCCAGGGGTAGAATGTTATGGTTTATGTTCAGGATTGCCCTCCCCCAAGCCTCATGCAATCATGGACATGACCAAATCTAGTGTTTGTGATTGGTTTGTTGTCTTATGCTCAGATTGAGTGCTACACCCTCCAGGGGTGGAGCCAGCATATAGTGTAAAGATGGGAAGAAGGTGTCTCACTCTCTTTTGCCAGTTCACACCTTGCTGTTTGCAGCCAGCTATGAATGGCTGGCCTGTCATGCCACCCTGACACTTGGAGCCAGCTGAATATGGACTGAAACTCCAACCTGTAAGAAATAAACCTTCCCTTTCCTAATTTTGGGCATCAGGTATTTTGTCTCAACAATAAGAGAGAAAAGAAAGTAAAACAGCTACCTTGTGGATGCCATGAACTGTTCTCTGCCAAGCCATCTTGCCTTAGAGCCAGCTGATTATGGCCTGAAACCTCTATAAACTGTGAGCTAAATAAACCTTTCCCCCTGTAACTCTGGGTGTCAGGTATTTTGTCTCAGCAATGAGAGAACAGTAACTAAGATAGGTTTCATTAAGTTAACTAGGCTAGGCTTCAACTTGTGATCCTTCTGCCTCAGCCTCCCAGATGGCTAGGTTTATAGGTATGAATCGCTGAGTCCTCAAGGAACCTGACTTTCATAAAATAAAAAAAAAGTTCCACAGATTTTTATGGAAAGACTACTAGTCTAATTACAGGTTTTCAAAAGAGCAACATCTATTCCTTTGTGTTCATTTATAAAACAAAAGATACTATTAAAATTTTTCTAGCCCAATGTTAACATTGCCCATCTTACACAAAATTAGGGCCACAGACAATACATACACTGATACAACACTGAAGTATAAAGTACCTTAACAAAGCGACAAAGCCTTACAGCATCTTCCCATTTTGAACTGCCTACATAGTCATGGAGAATAGCAGGATATGGTGATATGCTGATATGTACCAGGGAGCCATCCGCTCTTCTTATAGTTACCTGATTTCCAACAAAACTCACAATATGTGGATTTCTACTAAATTCACTGTTTAAAAAAAAAGTAAAGGACAATTTAAGGTTTTATTATGAGCAAAAATGTGGGGAATTATACTCCTGAGATACACCAGACTATACACACACACACACACACACACTCTCTCTCTCTCTCTCTCTGTCTCTGTCTCTCTCTTTCCAAAATACTCCCCCCCCATTAACTCTAAGGAATTTTGTAAGATGTTATTCTAAAGTTTAAAAAAATGTAAATGTTCAACTAGTTTTACTGTTTAACATAAGATCATTTTAATTAATTATAAGAAAACTTTATTTTTAAAGAATTAAATGTCATTCAAATAAAACATCTGAAATCTAACTTGCTATATTAAAATACTGCACTGGAAGCAAAATAAAACAAAAGTTTAAACTGACAAAAATTACTATGTATTTAAGAGCTATTCTTAAAGTCATCATTTTGAAATGACCAGTTGCTGTTATTTAGATCTTAATTTTCTGCTAAAGGTTCACACGGTAAAGACTTGCTCTTCGGGGTGTTCTACTGGGAGGTTGTAGAACCTACATGGTAGGTTTTAGGTCATCTGGAGACATGCCCATGAAGGGGAGAGTGACTCCAGGCCCTTCTTCTTCCCTACTGGGCATGAGATTAAGAGTTTGGCTCATTGCTGTTACGGCTGATACATTCTGTCAACTTAAGCAGTTTAGAAGTTTAACTGAGAAACTCAGCAGGGAGCAGGTTTTTTACTTTGCAAATATTCTCATCCTGGGCAAAAGAAGAGGGCAAGGAAATTTTGGCAGTGCTACATAAGCGTTGGAGCTGGGTTGTACAATGCAAAGGAGGAAAAGAGGCTTGCTCTGCCCTCTTTTGCTCTGGCTACTTCCTTGAACTGTTGCCCTGGTGACATGCCATCCTGTCTTGGAGCCAGCTGATTATGGACTGAAACCTCCACAAACAGTGAGCTAAATAAACCTTTCCTTCCTTCATTTTGAGTTATCAGGTATTTTGTCCCAGCAACCAGAGGAAAGTAACAAAGTAATCACACACTACTATCATAATATGCTACATAACCATGGGCTTAAAAGCAACAGGACCAATTGATTATGAAATGGAACCTCTGAAGGTGTGAACCAAAATGGGACTTTTCTCTTAATAAGATGATTATCTCAGACATTTGTTATAGTGATGGAATGCCGATTAACACCTCTGTATTTTCTGAGTCTTAAGATAATATAAATGATTAAATAACTTTTGCCTTTAAAGATATTAATGGTATATGCTATATAAAATTAAGCTGAATTCCAAGATTATTTTCTCAGAGTAAGAAGAGGTGAACTTTAAGTAAGGAGACTAGTATATTTTTATTAAAGTATTTTTTAAAGATAAGTTGTTTTATTTTGACAGTTATCTGGTTTTCCTAACGTTGTAAACTTGAATATTAAAAACAAATTCAAAACAGATTTGAAAAGAAAGCTAAGATTTAGATTTAAGATTTTTGTATTCCTATTTTGTTAAGACTAAAAGACTATCAGAAAAGTTAGGAATATAAATATGCTTTTATGAAGCATTTATATTACTTAAAAGCTTTTTAGTAACTTCATTTTTTAATTTTAATATCAAAAATTCAATATATTCTTGAAAGTCTTAATGTTAATAATAATCTGTGCATTGCATAGTTAACATGAAGTTGTACATCACTGAAAAAATCTCAGTGATTAAAATCACTACACCACATAGATAAAAACCAACCCTATGGGGCCAGGGACATAGCTCGGCAGCACAACTCCTGCCTGGTAAGCACGAGGCCTTGGGTTTCATTCCCGGTAACACAAACAAATAAACAACCTGAAGGATTCTTTTTTTTAAAAACAAAACAAAACAAAACAAAAAAACGATGATACACAATTTCAAATCAAAATAATAGGAGATTAACATTGGTTAATATATTGTGTACTGTTATCTTCAAAGCAGTTGTCCAGATTACAAGGCATGAAAAAATGATCAAACAATCGAACAATGAAAACACAAACTTACCTGACCAATTATTAAAGAGTACTAAACTTGAAAATTATATTCATATAAAGGGTAAACAGTTCATATTGTATTTTCAACTTGTTCCAACATTAAATTCCATTAAGCTAGTTCTAGCTAAACAATTTATTCAGTTGAGTCTGATTAAAGTGAAAGACATTGCAAGACTGAAATTAGAGACAAAAACATGATTCTCTATTAACTATGTTTATCACAATACAGAATTCTATGCAGTTAATGTTACCTTGCATCCTTTTCATATAGTGTTTTAGGCAAAATGTCTCTGTCCACATAAACTGTATTTGGATAATACCACACTGTAAATCGGGTATCCTGAAGTCCACAAAGAATATTGCATGTATCACACCAGGCCAAAGTATGCACCATTGTTCCTGAATTTAAAAAACAAAGCTAATGTTCCATTAGTTCCAATATATAAATATAAAAATACATCTTTAAAATCAGCTGACAAACAGATCTCATCTAATTTCTGGTAGGTATGTATCTACTTTCTGATAGTACAATTCTGAAACATACATAAAATTTCACATAAAAATTACAAATATTTGAATGCTATATGTACAGCCATATTTTTAATTCACAGATCTTTCTTTCAATGCCAGTTAAACTACAGTAAAGACTTGCTATTGAAAAATGGAATTATATAACTAAGAAATATACAATCAAATGTCTCCACAAATTCATTCAAGTAAAAATTCTACTATATGACAGTACACTTAAGAAAATTAGCAATAATTAAAAGTTAAAAAGTATTAAAATTATTTTACCAAGTTTGATAATTTGTTCTTCCTTCCCAAATCGTTTTACAGAAGTTATATAGAGATCTCTATTTTTATCAATGAAAGCAATTTTTCTATCATTGGTAAGTCCTTTTTGGTCCAAAGCAATTTCCAAAATTTCATTCTAAAATTTTAAAAAATATGCTGGATTAGTTTAAGTGCTTCACATAATGATCATTCTAATTATTTGGTTATAAGAACATTTCTTTTTCTAAAGCTCATTCTCCTACTTATAATGGTGAAATATCCCTGTTATCTAATTTTGAACTGCCAGTGTACTAATAATTCAAGAGTTGCAGTAGAGTTGTACTTTGCCTGCAATTCAAGGGACAAGTGTCCCTCAAATTAGATGATGTCTGTACTAACACTCCCATCTGCCCTCCTGACCTGTCTTTAGTAAACATGATAAAAGGGTGAGCAAGTCTAAATATCACAGGAGAGGTCTATTTTGATTAGTACATTCCTCACATCAGATCATATTTTAATCAGGTTAACAACTATGGTTTTAAGGTTTGTTTAAAAAATATGGAAATATACCTAAGTATCACATTTCCAGGCCTAAAACTCAGATTCTTCCATAGTAATTTCCTGTAAAACAGGAAATATATATATATTTGTGTTTATTTTTGTTTTTTTGTTTTTCCCTTTTTTGAGACAAGGTCTTGTTATGCATCTCAGGCTGGCCTTACGCTCACTGTGTAGTCTCAGGCTGGTTTCGAACTTAAAATGATCCGCCAGTCTCAGCCTCCCGAGTGCTGGGATTACAGGCATGCACCACCACACCTGGCTATATGTATATATTATAATATTTATTATACAATTGAGACCCAGAGACATGAAGTGATTTTATCAGAAAAAGCTAGTACCAAGCATGCCTCAAATTTACAAATCAGACTCCTGACTTCAGTATCAATTTTTCCATAACAGAAGAGTATTTCTGGCATTCTTCATTATTATATCATACAAATTAGAAATGTGAATTGTTTTATAACTTGCAAACGTCTAGTATAAATGCAGTATGTGGGCCAGGCTGGGCTTCAAAGTTCTAGACTCAAGAGATCCTCTTGCCTCTGCTTCCTCTGAGTTGCGGAGCCACAGGTAAATGCCCTAGTTCCTAACTCAAAAGGGATTTATTAACTGCTATACCTGCAAGACTTTGCTAGAGAATATGGATTTAGTTAGAATCATGATCACACCACCAGGTTACTGTGTTTATGTGTACCATAAATAACAGTTTTTAAAACAAATATGTATCTCTATCCAAATTGGCATATCAGGATATACTAATTAAAGTGCATTTTTAAAAACTTAGCTCTTAGATTTTATATTTTGAAGAAAATAATTTTATATCATGTATATCAAGACATATACAAAATATTAGTGTATTTTCAAAATAAAAATCTTTCAAAGAAATTCATCTTTACAATGATGAACTGATTGTCATCATTTTCAAAAGAACTTAACTGTATTTTTAAGAATAGTTAAAAAGAGGACTTCCAGGAGAACATGGCGGACAGATAACAGCAACTACCGGAGGCTCTCTGAAAAACTAGGCTCAGAAGCCAGGTATGGTGCGGACTAAAGAGACATAAGCAGGTGGAGTTATGCTCTGCTGACTCAGGAACGAACTCGGCTGAGAGAAACCAACTTGGAATGCAGTCCTGGTGCTAAAACAGGAACAGAAAAGTCTCGCTGCTGAGGCTGGACCCTGCGCCATTGGAAGCCGCGATTTGGGTTTCCCGCCGCGCGGTGGCTGGCTGCCTCTACATCGGCTCGGTAAGGAGAGAGACGCGCGGAAACTCTGAGAACGGGAGTCTGCGAACGGAGTCGAAAACAGGACGGGCAGGGAGGCATGTTCTGACTTGTGGCGAGGTGAGTGAGAGAAACTGACACTCCACCACAGTTTGACTCCAGCGGACTTTCTGGGCCCGAGCAGTCCTGCGGGAGCAGGGTGCGGTGGAGACTCCAGCCACACATTCCCCTCTCGGGCGGGATTGGTGAAAAGTGCCTGGCCTGCGTGACGCTGCCGGTGGGCCCCGTAGGCTGGCCCAACCCAGATCCCAGAGCCTGACGGAGGCCGGGAGGGGCGGGCCCCCGAGTAGGCTGCCTGGTGCACAGCGGTGAGTGGGAACACATAACCGGCGCAATTCGATCAGGCTGTGGCTGACAGGGAGAGAAGCTGGGCCTCTCATATAAGCTTGCATATATAAGGAACAGAGAATATGGGAAGAGGCAGCAACAAGAAAGGCTCCTCGGCCCCCAATTCTGAGAAACAGGCAATAGCGGATACTGCACCAATACACATAAAGCACCATATAGAGAGCCTCATAGACCAATTCAGGAATGAAGTTATCAACGACCTGAAGCTAGAAGTATGCAAAATAGTTAGAGAAATGCTAAGCCCCACCCAAGAAAAAATAGATGGTGGAATGGAAGAACAGAAAAAGAGGGGAGAATTGTTTGATGGAGAAAACAGGGAAAGCATAGAATACGTGAAGCAGGTTCAAAGGGACTACCAAGAAACTAAGAAGTCTATCGAAGACTGGCATAATAGCTTGAAAGAAACTAAGGACAGACTATCTGAACTGGAGGGCAGAATTGTAATATGGGAGAATGAAATGAAAAACTTCTTAAAAATAACAAAGAAACAAACAGCAATAATACAAAGACAAGAAGATGATAAGAGGATCCATAACTTAAGGATTAAGAACATAAAAGAAGAAGTAGGGACACAAACAAATGAACTACAAAAGCTACTCACAGAAAGAATCCAGGAGAATTTTCCTAATTTAGCAAAAGGTAAAGATGCTCAGATGTATGAGGCATACAGGACCCCAACTACCTACAACCCAAACAGAGCAACACCCAGGCATATAATAATAAAAATTCCAGAAATTCAATACAAGAACAGAATATTAAAAGCTGTCAGAGACAAGAAACAGACCACTTACAAGGGAGCACCCATCAGAATTACAGCAGATTTCTCTGCACAAACCATCAAATCACGAAGAGCGTGGGGGGAAATAATTCAAGCTTTGAAAGATAATAATCTCCAGCCAAGATTGAGATATCCTGCACAACTGTCCCTGGAAATTGATGGAAAAACAAGGTGCTTCCAGGATAAAGGGGAACTGGGGGAATTTGCAACCACCAATTCAACTCTACAGAGAGTATTGCAGGATATTCTAAAAAAAGAAAAATACAAAGAATCCAGAAATAGTGGAGGCCACAACTAATGGAGCAGAGAACAAAGTGAAGAAGACAAACTGACAGCTACTGACAGAATAAGAGCTCAACAGAAATGAGGCAGAGAAGATTGGATGATAGGAACAGCTATTTTGGAGAAAATGACATCTTAATAGGTAATACTGATTTAGTATCATCTTGTTTTGAAGTCTCATCTAGCTTTTGTCCTTCTGTCTCCAATGGTCTAAATAGGTTGTATCTTACTGGATTTTATTATGTACGATAGTATAAGAAAAAACCTTTTAAAGACAAGGAGATTATACAGAAACCATTATTCGTTTTCTGTTAGTCGATTCTAAATAGTCTGTAATGCTGTCATTCTCTTAAATGGTTTTACATTGTTTTGATATACTTAATGCTACAGTATACGAAGTTGTACTCAAGGATTTCAAGGAAAGAGACAATATGGTAACTACTTTTAGGTCAGGATTATCTGGTGGTGAAACACTATTCTGCTTAAATGGTTATGTTTTGATCTGCACTGTTTCGTTGTTATGCCCTCTTTTATCTCAATCTCCACTCCATTATTTACTTTTTCAATACTTTTTTAAATTTTTATCCTTTTAATTAAAGGAAAAAAAATAGCAGGATATATTATAGTAACCCACTTTGACTTTCCATTACCTCGATTTAAAGCCCTGTATTACTCTCACCATCTGGTTTTTAACTGATGTTCCCCTATTCTGTTTTGCTGGATAGTATCAGGTTCGAAAATTTAGGCATCAGCTGTGAAAATAATGAGATTCATTATAACGCCCATTCTCGTTGATTTTTATCTACTTTTGAAGACCTACAATGTTACCAATGTTTTGGTTTTGTTGGTTTTGTTCTTTACTGTTTTGTTCAATTGTATTATAACTAATGGTATAGGCAATTCTATTAGAGATAGCGGGAGGCATTATGGTAACCATTGTTGATCACCTTGTATTATGTTTTCACATTATCTATTATGTCCACCCTTTTGACTTGACCGATTCTGTTCTGTTATGTCACATTTGGTTTTACTCTCTTCCAAAAAAGTAATAAGAACCGTGAGAGCAATGAAACCCAAAATGTGTAATAGTCATTGTACAAAAGAGAGGAAAAGAAAGTGCTCTAAACTATATAACTGCATGTATATTTAAGTGTATAAGATAGAATATGATATCACAGAGTTTTATTGGATCATTGAACAGAACTGTTTGCAGTATCATTGATGGAATGTCCACTTTACAAGCTTTAATTTTGTGACTTGAACAATTATTTCTAAGATGACAATATGTAATCCATTAACTAGTGATTTCCTACTGTTCATTTTTTTTCTGCAAATCTGTATAACTTGTACCCTTTCTCTGCTTTTTTTTTTGTTTTCTCCTTAAATAAAATTTAAAAAAAAGAAAAAAAGAAAGAATAGTTAAAAAGATATGATTTTGTTCTATAAAAAAATTCAAAATCAAGATTAGGGATATGGCTCAATGGTACAGAGTCTACCATATTGCATATATGAGGCCCTAAATTTAATCACAATACTATTGAAAAAAATCAAAGATGGAAACACTTCATAGTGTAAGATCAAAGTAGTTTTGTGTTCACTAGAATCCTGTCTTGCTCTACACTAATTAATATTAATTTAATAATATACAGGCAAGTTTTAGTTTGCGCTCTGTTATTTGGAACGATCTTAAATATCTGTTGATTCACATATAAAATAAGAGCGATAAGATAACTTTTCTATTGTTTTATTGAATATAAAATTTTTAAATTACCTGAATTATACACAAATGTTTGAGTAATTAAATGAAGTATGAGATGTGGAAATAATTAGAAAAGTATAAATTTTTTATGCTTAGGAAATCCTTGTACTTAGGAAAACAATTCTAGCAAAAGGGCTATCACATTAAAATGAAAGTTTAACCTTATTAAATGACTTTCATTTCAGTCACTCTAACAAAAATGACTATATCTTGGCATTTAAGAAACTTATTTCTTTTTATATACTTATTCCTACTAAGAAAAAATTTCTGTTTAATAGTATTAATTTAAATAACTATAAAAGAGAGATTGTAGAGAAAAATGTAACTTATATCTTATTGGTGGGAAGGTATGCTGATACAGTCTTTTTGGAAGGAAATTTGACAATACTTATTAAAATTACAAACAAAGCCAGGCATCGTAGTACATGCCTGTAATCCAAGTAGTCAGGAGGCTGAGGCAGGATTGCTGTGAGTTTGAGGCCAGTCTGGGCTACATAAGCAAGTTCAAGGTCAGCCTGAAATGCAAAGTGAGACCTTGTCTCAAAAATAAATAAAATTACAGTCATTCCTTTGACCTAGCAACATTTCCTGAGCCAAATTACCCTAGAACATATGCAAAAAGATATATATGAAAGGTTATTCACTTTGGCAATGCTGTAAAAGCAAAAAACTGGAAGCAACTTACATGTCTATCCTCTGGGCACAGATTAAATAAATTCTGATACAACAATGAAATAGTGTATTATATAGTAGGGAGAGAAAGGATAGGGAAAGTATAAACAAGCTTCCAAAGATTTGGAAAAAATCAAAGACTTCTCCAAGTAGAAAAAAAAAATTTGGAAAAATCTCCAGAAATAGTGCACTGTGTGAAAATAACAAGGTACAGAAATGTATATGCTATATTTTTGGGTAAGAAGAGAAAAATATGTATCAGTTTTGTTTGTACATGCAATAAAAATCTCTGGAAGGATATATAAGAGATTAGTAACAGTGGTACTTACTTGGGGGAGATTTGCATTTATGAGTAATAGCAGGGAAACTTATTACATACTTTTTAATGTTTTTGATTTTTGAACCATATAAATGTATTTATTATTCAAATTTAAACCAGTAATTATAAAAAATAACAAAAAAGGAAAGTACAACATAGAATAACAATAAATGAGGTGTTATTGGAAGTATAATTAAAATTAGAAGTATATGTAGACTCTAACATGTCATTTACAAAGATAATTATCATGTGCTTTTTGTTTTAGGCTAAAATATCAGAAACCAATGAAAAACTGAGGGTTTTTTTGTACTTTCTAGATGGAGTTTTTTGTTCCTGTAACTAGTCTTAAAACTTAACAAGAATGCTGGCTAATGATAGGTCAATGAAAAAACTGTAAGAATGTAGGGGATAAAATACATATTGTAATGGGCCGGGGATATAGCTCCGTGGCACAGCACCTGCCTGACAAATGTGAGGGTGTGAGTTCAATCCCCAGTACCACAGTGGGGGAAATATATATATAATATTTTCTTTTATGTATACTAAGAGTTTAATCAAAATAGAACATGCTATTGAAAAGCAGTAAAGTGTCTAGACAACTAACATATAAGTCAGATCTTTTTATGCAATTAATTTGCATAACAGTTTCCTATTGCAGATTTTATTTGTGCTTAGTCTTTGTGACATTGTTAGGTAAAATATTTTATGTAGAATGTTTTATATTAAAAACATAAAATTAATTTTTTTCCTCCTTAAAACTATCTTGAAAAAATTAATAAATAAATAGCATTTACATTAGAAATAGCTAAAGTGCATTACCTTATGAGAAAGATGTTTCCCTTCGCCTAGCGGTTTTCCAGTTGATGCCTCAAAGAGAAAGATTACTTAAGAGAAGAAAAGCAGAATATTAATTAGTATGCTATATTATTAGTGAATCCCAGTGGAATTATAATACTCATGAGACATTGTTTAACTCTCTGGACACTACAGTAGCTGACAGCACAGAAGAATAGTGTCAAATTTCTACTTATTAATAGGGTCACACTTATGAAAACAGTGGAACTGAACTCTTCTTCCCTAAAACATACTTATTTAAAGCTGTTACTAATAGCAAGGCATCAATGTTCCATAGGACCAACATTGGCAATTCAAATGTGCATGCATTTGTAACTCTGATATCTATGATTTCAACCAGTATAACATCATAGGCAATCGTATTCCACAAAGGAAAAATATAGTAAGTGCCTGCTACAGTGGAGGTAATGTGTGTGTTTTCTGTTAATATGCTATTGTGGTGTAAGTAATTTGTCTGAACTTTGTCCTGGTTTTCCTCACTAGGAGTTTCAAAAACCCTTAAAGGTCCTAAGACACAGGCTGCCATATTGATAAAAAGACTCTTGGTGGGCACTGGATGGTTTAAGGACAAGGACTGACCTGTGATTAGCATATTACACCTTTGATGTCTCTGACCTCTAGAGATGGAAAGGAAGCTGGAGATTGCATTCAATTAGTAGCTAATGATTTAATTAATTATGACATATAATAAAACTCCATTAAAAATACTGGACACCAAAGCACAGCATAGCTTCCTAGTGAACACACTGATCAGAGGGGTGACTAATCCTTCCACACATCAAGCTATCTATATTCTTTATAATAATAAAACTATAATCATAAATATAGATTTCCTGAGTTCTAAGTCTTTTCAGCAAATTATCAAATGTGAAGGGGTCACAGGGGTCTTTTGAATTTATAGACCAAAAGAAATAAATCACCAGGGACCTTCTGGTGTCTGGCATCTGAAGTGAAGGCAATCTTGTGGAAGATTTTATCCTTAAACTTTAGGGTTTGCTTTAACTCCAGGTAATGTCAAAAATAAATTATGGTACATGGAGTTGAGATTAAAATATAGAAGTTTGGATCAAGAAAAGTAGGGTTTACTAGACTGATCCTGACTCACTAAACTATTTGTTTTAAGAAAAGAAAGAATAAAAAGATAGGAAGCCCTGATTCTGTAGTAGCCACGATATTATCTATGGCCTGCTGCAATCAGTTATTGAAAATAAAAGTTATCTACTGAATACAGAAATGATAGATATAACTCCGAAGGAACTGGCTCACTAAATGCATGAGAAAATGTAAAATAATAATTAAAAAGGAATATGCAACTCTATCAGGGACCTGGCCTAAATCCTCAATCTCCCAAACAAATGTATGGCAAAGGCTTAAGTAAATGAGGTAAGTGGTATGATTTTAAAGCCCCAGAAGGAATGGCTCCCAACACAACTCCAGTGACTTGTTACCTGTAATAACAAAAATGAAAAGTAGAGGTAAGCAAATATAAATTCTAACATCTGAATCATATCCTCTAATTTCAGGACTTTTCTGGCATGTATGAGGAAGATCCAAATTCTGGCCACCAGCATCAGAGCCATTTTAAGGGGAAAAAAAAGTTATGCTGCAGCTAATTATTAAGAGTAAATGATTCCCAAGAGAATGAGGATAGCTAGAAACAAATGCTAAGGGGCTAAATGTGTGTTTGTGTGTTGATCTAAATAGTCACTAAGAAACAGGGTGAAAAAAGTAAATAATGGTGCTGAAACACAGGAGAAACAGAAAAAGGAGTCCAGGTCCCTGATCGTACCCAGGTAGAAATCTTTAGGCAGTCATTTAAAAATACAGTGAATAAATAAAGCAATGTTGGTGGGCCCAAAATACAGAAGTTGGGTGGACTGATGGGAACCCCTACTAGTGACCCAAAATTTAAGGGCTCGAAACAATATTCATCCTAGTTTGGAAGGATTTGGAAAGCAGAAAGGTCAAGAGGACAAGAGGAAGCCTGATTTCCCATAACCGGGGGCACTGTTCTCCACATTTAATTAAACAAAGATTTGGGGAATAGCCAGGGTTCCTTGGCTCAGCTCAGTGTCGGCATCTAAACCTTATGCACATTAGTGGGAAAAATTATCATAAAGTAAAGAAGTTTCTAGGACACTCTGGATAGGGAATTGGTATACACTTATGGTACCAAAACCCAACTAATGAAGCCCTAAAAGGGACTACAAGAGAATACAGAAATGCAAGGTTGATAGGGTTAAGATAATAATCTGAATAAAAATTGGATTGCATACACAGGTTTCATATAAAAGATGCCAACTCTGCCTAAATGCTTTATGGGAGTGGTAATTACTCCTTATTGAGAACATTGTCCCTACTTAATATTATAAAACCAGAATCTACTGATAAAGTCCTGAGGGGCATCATCAAATTAAGAGGATATATACATGCAAGAGTTAATGAGCTTAAGATGAAATTTCGGATGAAAATTGGTAGCCTGAACAAGCTTCATGTGAAGCAGTTGTGTTCTTTTTACCTGAGTGCATTTTAGAAACACAGACTATCAAGTAATGCAGACAGTGTTCCAATCTATCCTTCAAGCAATATTAACTGGACATGCAATGTTTGCTCCCAGTAAGATTTCTCAAGCTCACAGAGGCCTTTAATATAAAGTGGTATAAAGCAGGCCTGGTAGTGCACGTCTGTATTTGCAACACTCTAGGAAGCTGAGGTAGGAGTATCTCAAGTTTAAGCCTCGGTTGGACAACTTAGCAACTCAGAGAAACCTTGTCTGAAAATAAAAATAAACAGCACTGTAGATGTAGCTCAATGCAAAGACCCTGGGTTCAATCCCTACCACAACAATCAATCAATCAATTAGTAACATCAAATAGTACTGAAGAGATGCTGGAATGCTGAAATAGACAAATTCTCTGTATAATAAGCCTGGGTGGAGTATAAGCTGAGGCTTATGGCAAAAGCCTGTTAAGTAACTGCCAGTGACAAATATTAAGACTCTGACTAGAAATATTCCATTTGAGAGGCAATTAGTTGCTCCAATCATCCAAGAATTTTTTTTTTTTTTTTTTTTTTTTTTTGTCTTTTTCTATTTTATCGGTACCGGGGATTGAACTCACAACTGCCTGCTTGCAAGGCAGGTGCTTATGCCACTGAGCTAAATCCCCAGACCCATCATCCAAGAATTGATACTGCTTCTGTAACTGAAGAACATAAAATAATCTGGAAATATAAAGTACCCATAATATATTGGGTGATATTAGAGAAAGATTCCACTAGGGAGGGTAATTTCCAGAAGAGCTCTACAATAACATGGAAATGAATTGTGCAGGGAATGGAAAAGATTACACTGTGGAACTGGCTAAGGAACTGTCAGATTATATGATCACTTGTAGTGATCTATAAACAGCACTCAACAGACCAACAGATACCTGCTTGGTTAAGACATGGTGGGTCTAATATGACCACATTTTGTTTGGAAGGTCTTAAGCTGATTGAAAAAAAGAGAAAAACAAATCAAGTTAGTAGACTGCATTATATGCTGTTTGGCTGTATTTTTGGGTTTTCACCAACTAATACTGGCAAGTGGCCTGGTCATATGGTTGAGGAAAAGGGCAATGGAAAACTGGCTTATTAAAGGCATACCAAAAAAGGGGCACAGCTTTATGGAAACACTATGGGAAAATTGGAGGCTGCATTAAAGCAGGATATGTTGATGTCCATCAGAAGACCTCCCTTGGTTCATGACACGAGTAGACATTGGAGTCTAAAATAATGCAGTGATGGACTGGGCTGAATCTAAGAACCTTTCTCTTATATCTTCCAAGGTACACAGTAACAGTAAGAACTATTTTGTCAGCCAACAAAGGAGGCTATGGGGCAGATTCCCCAGGAATAAGGCCCTACACAATGTTGGCAAGTTGGACTGATGTCAGAAGTCCTGAGGACTACAAATGGGCCCTGACAGGAATAGACAAGACTCTGGACAGGGTTGAACTACTGAAAGATGCGAATGTTAAGAGTACTATAAAAGAATGAGAAGAGAGGATATTGCACTGACTTGAACCACCTAACTAAATTTCTTCAGAATAAGACAGATACTTTACAGTCCAAAATGTCCAACACTGGGCAAAGAGATATCCTCTTCAGAGTAATGGCTTAGAAAAGAATTGGAATGGTAATTAAAATAATGGATGCCTATAATGGGGAAGAAGTCATGACGTGCTGGCTTTCATTCCTGTGTGTTTACTCACCATAAAACGAGCAAAGGGAGAGGCCACAGTACACAGATTCCTCTGCTTATTTGACAGATTTGGGAAGAAATAGTAGAAAAAACAGGATGCTGGTATGGCAAAGAATTTTTTTTTCTTTTCTCTACCTGATGCAGTGCCTCCAGGGCTGGCTGCAATTACAACTGCCAGAAACAGAGAAGATTTCTAGGCAAGAAACTATACTTTTAGGCCTTTATGTCACAATTTCTAAGGGCCTATTTGGACTGGGTTATATTTTCACTCCATCTGGCAAATTTGAAGTTAACCTTGAATGTAGTAATACTAATCTTTAAAATGGCCATTAGTTCTATACGAATGGACAGAAGGAAAAATTATAGCTTTTATGATCTGAATACAGATAGTGTCACCAAAAGGCCCATCTGTTACAGGCCTGATTCCCAGGTGGCCCTATGGTAAGGTAGAGCCTAGTGGAATATTCTCAGGTCATTGGTACTATGCCTTTGAAAGGGGACTGGGGTGCTCCAGTCTCTCCATTTGTTTATTCTTCATGGCTCATGGTGAACGTAGTTTGCTTTGTCACATACTCCTACCATGTGCTGTTCTTGCAAATAGGCCCACGGTCATGGAGCCAGTATATCATGGATTGGAACCTAAAGAACAATGAGCTAAAATAAACCTTTCCTCTTTATAGATAATTGCCTTGGGTACTTATTCCAGCAACATGAAGCTGACTGAATACATTGACTGAAAATAAAGAATGAATAAATGGGTAATGTGATACGTGAAATCTAAAATTACATTAGTGTTTCAAAAGGGATTTCGATCAAGAGAATGATATTGTCTCTGACATGGCCCCCAAAACCTCACACACTCTATGGGTGGTGCTGTGGAGAGTGACTGGATCATGGTATGTGACAAGATACTGGATTAGTCCACCTATTGGTTTTGCACAGTTCTGCAAACAGATGATGGACTTACTGAAGGGGGAAGACCCATCCTCCAATGGGCACCAACCAAAGGGCTTATAGCCTGGATAGAACAAAAAGGGAAAGAAGAAGGAAGACTTCTTGCCTGCCATGCCATATAGAATTTCTCCGCTGCCATGCCCCTCTGCTGTGCCGCCCTGCCCTCAAACAAGCTGAGTATTCCCTCTACAGACTATACACCAAAATAAACTTTTCTTCCTTTAAAGTGTGGATAATGGAATTGTGTCTCAGCAACAAGTAAGTACCTTAGGTAGTCTCTTAACCTTAATATCTCTTATGTGAAACAGCAGTACCTCATTATACCAGATACATGAAAGGGTGAAGGTATGTGTTACTGAGACCTCTCCTTGCTTTCGGAACTTGATAAAATTGAATGGAATCCTGCAAACCTCCATAGTCTCACCTTAGAAAATGTTTGATCACAGAACACAGTGATGGACACATTACTGACTAGTAAAATGTTTGTAGCAGGCCAACATGTTTTCATTTTTATTTTTCAATGTGGTGTAATATTAGTATTGTTGGTAAAAGTATAATACTGACATGGATGATAATATGTATTGGGAATTGAATTAAAAACCCCTATCACTATCGCACATAGACTCTTCTAAACATTAGGTATGTTAATGTTGGTATTATCGATAGGAATGATACCTATGCTACAAAGGATTCCATGGTCCAAGGCCTGGGGATAATCTGTGTTATAATAAATTTGTTGCAAGTTCCTGGCAAAGAGCTTCAAAAGTCTTTGGAATCCTTTGATAATAAGTCTTTGTTAAGCAAAGTGAATCTGGGGAGGGTGAGGGGTGGTATAGGGGGATGGGGTGGATTCCTAGATAGCTTTAGGATAGAGGATGCTCACACTAGGAAGACCAAGCACATGATTTAGAAGGAGGCATTTTCAGCCCCTAACCCTTATTCCTAACCTTTGGAAGACTGAGTTCAATCATATGGCCCATGATTTAATTAATCAAGTCTAAGTAAGTATGCAATGAAACCCAGAAAGTCTTGGACACTGAAGCTCAGTAGAGCTTCCTGGCTTAATATAAAAAAGTTGCGCAAGTGACATGCCCTGATTCCATGAGAAGGTATAAAAGTTCCCAAGCCTCACCTGTGTGTACCTTTGTAACAAAATTATTAAGAATAAATATAGGGATTGCCTAAATTTTGTCAGTGATCTTAGCAAATTAGTGAACCTGAGGGATTTATGGGGATCCTCAAATTTGTAGTTAGTTGGTCAGAGATGCAGATGTCCAGAACTTGGGCTGAAGTATAATATTTACTGTGTTACAACATGAAGAAAATATTTAAAAGATTACAAATTAACATACATTTAGGATCATAATACTGAATTAAAACTTTCTACCAAAAGCTTCTGAATAAGATTTATTTCTTACCCCTAATCTCAGACCTATTTGTATTAGTAGGTATACTGATACCTACTTGTTCAATCAACTGGATGCAGTATCACAAATCTAGCTCTTATTTATGTTTAGAAAATATTAGGAAACTCATAATTCCTTCATTTAATTAATATTAGTATGAAAATGAAAGTTTATGAAAGTGTTAACTAACAAATGGTGTGGAAAATTATAAAAATGTACTTACTTTTTTCATCAGCTTTATCTTTTATTGCTATAGTATCATTACTCAGAGACACAGTCTGTGCATTCAGAATATCTGTTCTCATTCCAGGAAATTTTGGAGAAGAAATGAACCGCCCTTCATAAGAATATAAATAGACACCACCACCATCAACAAGAAGAAAATGTCTAAAATATAATAAACGAAAATATATTCTCATGTAAGATGCCAGTATGTTTTCACTTTTATATTAGAAAAGTTTATTCTTCACAAAAATCTATATACTACAATTAAAAGAACACAGATATATATAAAGAATGAAATATTTTTAAAAATTAAAAATCAACATTTGTTATTTTGATTTGTTTTTCTGAGTTTTTGTTTTTTGATAGAGATAGGGGAAGAAAAGTGGAAAAGTCCATAATTACCACCCTATATACTGAAGTTGTGATTTCACTTATATTATATCCTCAATTAACTTCCTTTCCTAAAGAAGACTATTTATATAAAGACAGTTAGAAAATCTTATAAGTTATAGGGCCATGAATATAGCTCAGGGACGCCACGCCTGCCTAGCAAGTACAAAGCCCTGAATTCATTCTTAGTACTAACAAAGAAAAAACCCCGAAGAAGAAAATTTATAAGTTATACTTCAGTGATTTAAATGTTAGATGCTGTTATGGATCCATTTTATCAACTTGCGAAGTTCAGAAGTTTAACTAAGAGACTCAGCAGGGGGCCAGGACCCTCACTTTGTAAACATCCTCATGCTGTGCAACAGGAGGGCAGGAGATGGTATGAGTGCTACACCTGCCCTAAAATGGGTAGCCTGCTTACAGTAGAAGGGAGGAAAAGAGGCTTGTTTCTCCTTCTTTTGTGTTCTTGTTGCTTGTATTCTGCTGCCTGGAACCCTTGCTCCTCACTGTCACCCTGCCTTGGAGCCAGCTGATTACCGACTAAAACTTACACAAACTGTGAGCTAAATAAACCTTTCCTTCCTTAATTCTGAGTGTCAGGTATTTTCTCTCAGCAATGAGAGAAAAGTAAGAAAGATACATGCTATTTATTTCATGAAATACTATTAATGCATATTAGTCTGAAACATTTAAAATGACTAAAAACTATCATCAAAAAACACCTCAAAAAACTATCATCAAAACTATCATCATTTTATTAAAATAAGATGCTCTAAGGGGTGGGGATGTAGTTTAGTGGTACAGCATATGCCTAGAATGAGTGAGGATTCAATCCTTAGTACTGAAAAACAGAAAATGATACTTTTCACTTTAACATTATATAATCACCAGTAAATATTCATATCTAAACATTCAGTTTTTACAACACGGTTTCAGGTTTAAGGTTGCTATATTCAAAGTATAAGACTGTATAATTTTTTATCAACTCAAATATTTTATGGCTATTATGTTTTTCCTTTGAAAATAAATATTACAAAAACTAATTCAAACAATATAGAGAAAACAAAAGCCCTTTTGTGATCTTACCTACATAAACATTATTGTGGCAAAGTATGCCAATACTATAACTTTTTTTTTTCCTTTTTCTCTTTTTATCGGTACCAGGGATCGAACTCATGATCGCCTGCTTGCAAGGCAGGTGCTTATGCCACTGAGCTAAATCCCCAGACCCCATAACTTTTACTTAACTCATTGTTGAGAGGCATTTATTTTATTTCAAACTATATACTGCTTTAAAAAGTATCTATAGTGTACATGTTTCTGTGTATTGTCCACTCTACTCATTTCCTTATACAGCTTCTAGAAGCACAATTGCCAAATCCAAGGGTATATTTTTTCATTTTTAGTTTTTTTATTTTAAAAACATAAACAGAAAAAAAGGATAGAAATGATATAGAATTCAAAAAAATAGGAAATTAACACTAGCTAATATATTCCATACTTTTATCTTGAAACTAGTTGTTCAAGTTAGAAAATCTAGGCATAAAAAACAATCAGTCAAACAATGATAGCAGGAACTGTTCTTTTTGATGAACAGAGATTAGAAGTATAGTTATCTATCTTGCATATGTATACATACATACATGCATATATGTATACCTACATAAATATCTTTTCCTTTCTTCCTTTTCTCCTTTGCCCAATCCCAGTTGTTCTTTCTTTTTGAGCACTTTCTTACCCTTTCATTATTACAAAAGCTGTTGTACATTTTGGATTTTATTACTCAGTTTTTAATTTTTATTATTTTAAGCATAGTATATACTGTACTGTTAAACCATCTTTTGAAAGGTTACATTGATTTACATAGGTGCTACAACTATTTTGGTGAGCCTGTTTCCTTAATGCTGACACATTATTTTTTAAATACTGTACTCCAAGTCTCATTATCTTCAATTCAGAACTATTTGTTGATTCAGAAATTGCTAATTGTTCTTTCTTGTTAGGGAAACAGAAAGTAACATCGAAATCAATGAAAATATAGTACATAATGAATATCAAATGCATAACTTCATATTTAAGGATTGGTAGGTAACATTTAATTAAAAGTTTTAGCCCTTACACGAGACAATACATATTAGTATATGAAAAACTATTTGCAAATCTTGATGAAGTGATGCAGCACAGTAGCATATATTCTTTCTTTGTGACATTACTAAAAGTATTTTCTCTTCTACATAAGATGGTACCTTTAAACAAACACTTTGTTTCAACAGACAACATCTCTAACTATAGAAATAAGACCAGTGGTGGCCAGTAACTAAAACATTCTTCATTAATTATGCCACTAGCATAAGCTCTTACTACAAACACATTCAATTTATTTGGAACTACTGAAGTAAAAAGCATGTCAGAAATATAGTGCTTTGTTTGCAGTACCAGGAACTGAACCCTAGGGTTTCCGCAATGAGCTACATCCCCAACTTACTTTATTTTTATATTTTGAGATAGGGTCATGCTATGTCACTGTGTTGCCCAGGCTGGGCTCAAATCCTCCTACCTCAGCCTAGGATTATGGACATGTGCCAACACACCCAACTTAAACATACAATTTTTAAAGACAGCTGACATCTTGTCTTTTAAATGGCAAACGTGACTTATTTTAAAAATGTACAATATAAATAAATATTTCAATTTCATTAAATAACAAATTTAACAATATTTTCTTGATCATTCAAGATTATCAATCAATGATCATTCTCTTCAGACAATGACAGCTTTGATACTCATGAGAATCTGTTGGTACTCAGAATTACGCTACTCAGCTAACAAAACTATGCTTTTAGTTTTCTCTATATTCCTTTGACAAACAGTCGCTTTTCTATTTGTCATTGTGCCAAACTTTAATAGCCCACCAGCACCATTTTTCTCCTGGATTGCTATTTATAAAAAGCTGTGGGCTAGCAAATCTGATAATAAATATTATTAAGGGGTACCTAGGTGATAAGTAAAAGAATAAAGTACATAGTTTCAGATGAAAGGTTTTATGCATAGCTGGTTTTTTTGTTTGTTTGTTTGTTTGTTTCCTTTTTATCAGTACCAGGGATCAAACTCATGACTGCCTGCTTGCAAGGCAGGCGCTTATGCCACTGAGCTAAATCCCCAGCCCCATGCATACTGTTTTAGTAAATGTCAATTATATTTACATATGTTGTTCCAGATTTATCAGGTAGCTTTCCTAAGTCTGATTTCTGACTCAGTAGAGTATCACTGTACTTGATTAACTGACTAATTCGTTAATGTGAGTTTCTAGAATAATAGCTAGTCCTAATTTATTTCAGTTAACTTGCCTAGAGTTTTATTTAGTCCTATATACATTAAAGGTCTTGGTAAAGAATTATTATTTTTTTAAATCTCAAATCGCAGTCCAGCAGTGGCTCATGAAAACGATGAGTTCCAACCAATATTTAAAACAAAATTGGGGTTGAAGGTATACAGCACATCCTTAGCAAGCACAAGACCCTGGAAACAATCTCTAGCAGGAACAGAGGGAGGGGACAGGGAGGGGGGGAGAAGGGAAGAAAAATACGGGGTCATGAGGTCTAAACTATTTAATAGGAATTTTTCTTGATTCACTCCTATCCTCTCATGTCATTACTCTGCTGTTTACCTGTAATGAGTATATGTTCATTATTTGAAATAAATTAATACTTTAAAGTTCTCAGTTTTAATTTCTAATACAGTAAATACAGATATATAGAACCTTCAAAACTTTTTAAGAATGTAAAGAATTTCAAAACTGTACTCAGAATAATATTTTGGCCATTCAATATTATGGTAGTAGACAGTGTATTAACTCTTATTATTTTCTAATTATTTTGCTATGAAAATTTATTTTTTCATAAGTGTGCTTTTTATATTTTCTTTATTAATGTTAAGAAAATATTAATATTGCATTATTACATTAAAATAAAAAATACAGATATTTTTCAAGTTTAAAAAAAGTTTCAGAACTACTTGTCTAACAGATTACTTTAGTTTTAAAATACATAATAGAAACAGTTTGATTCCAAATGACTAGAGTACTGTTCTATAAACAGGATACTTTAAACAATGCATTATTCCTGAGATATGTAGCCCTAAATGCAATAAAAATAATGAACAAATTACCTTTCTGCCTGTAGAATTAAACTAACAGTTCCTTCTTTGAGATCAAATATAAGTGGTGTATTCCAGTTTTTCGTACTAAAAGACAAAACATGTATTTATTAACATTTAAAAGCAGTAGGCACTCATTTTTAAATAAAGCAATTATAGTTTCACAGTAATTGTATACATACTTTCATTAATAGCACTTGGCACATTGTTCTGAAATTATTCACTTTCATCAGTGTATTCCCAACCAATAAAGAGCCTCTGCCCCTGCAATTAGTACATAGTAAGCATTCAATAATTCTTATTGTAGTATTGTAAGGCATGAATTAAGGAATCCTAAGCATAAGTCCCAGTTCTACTATTTATTAGCCCTAAGAGCATGGTCAAGTGATCTAAGGTTTCTTATCTGAAAAACAGTGGCAGTGTGGCATAGTGAGAAAAAAATAGATTTGAGTGTCGTATGATGTTAGTAAGCTTAGCTGGGCACCATGGCATGCACCGGTCATCCTTGCACCTGGGAGCCTGAGGCAGGAGAATTGCAACTTTGAGCAGAGTTTAGTGATTTACCAAAATCCTGGGGAGTTTAGTGATTTACCAAACCTGGGGAGTTTAGTGATTTACCAAAATCCTACTTCAAAATAAAAAATTAATTAAAGGGGAAGGGATGGAGGCATAGCTTAGTGTGAAGACCCTGAGTTCAACCCCCAGTACTGAAAAAAATAAAAATTTCAACAAGCTTAACTTCTAAACCATCAATGCCCTTATCTGCAAAATGAGCATAATGATTCACTGAAGTATCTGGCAAACTTCCTACTAGAAAACTAACGAACATGATTATTTCTTGGTACAGGTCCCCCAATATTACTGACATGATTTCCATGAAGTACTCTATAATCTACACAACACTATATAAATTATGACCATGTTTACTGAAAAATTGATGAAATAAATCATTCCTTTTGTTTCTTTAGGACAATATGATTCAAAGATTGGGTTTAAGAAAACATTAGATTAAGAAAACATTTCCAAATAGAAAAATTCATCCTAAAATAATCAGTAGCTCCACAATTTAAAATAACTTTTATTTCTCCTATACATCTAAATGATCCTCAATCATATTCATACAACCAGTTCTTTAAATCAGTTTAAATCTCATATTCACACTCAGAAGATGGGAAGATTTCAGTGAACAGGCAAACTGATGGGCAATTAGTATTAATCTTGACTAATGCAAACTTGATACCCATTTTAGTAGGTGAAGGGATGCATAAGATGCAAAGTAACAAATAAATTACTATTAATAATTAATCTGGGGTTGACACGTATGATAAAATTATGCACTTCTCTATTTGTGGAACAAACTTCACAGCATGCCTTATTAGCTCAGTCAGTGGAATTAATCTTCATTCTCTGTCCAAAAGAGCTGGTAGGAAAAGTTATTCTATAGTATATCTTACAATGTTCTCTTTAAAAAATCTGTAATTTCTGACAATTGAGATATAGTATAAATGTCATGGCAATTTTTAAAAACTCCATAAGCTATCATGTTGAATAGAACAGAAAAGTTGTTTTTCTTTTTGTGCACTAAGGATTGAACTAAAGCCTTGTGCACGCTAAGGTAAGTCCTCTCCCACTGAATAACACTCATGGCCTTTTTTTAAAACTGTGTGACAGATCTAAGTTGGCCAGGTTTACCCCAAACTTGGGGTCCTCTACTTTCAGCCTCCAGAATAGCTGGAGTTACAGAAAAGTGCCACCATGTACACTGAAAGAGTATTTTTTGATACAATTATTTGGAAAATAAAATAAAAATGTAATGTGGAATGTTTATGTATTATTTTACTTCCATAGAATGTTTTCAAAAATACACCAATCTATTACTTACACGTATGTTTAAAATTATTATATTTTTTTACAATAAAGGACAACAACTTATTAAAAATTTGGATTCAAATCCTAGCTCTTCCTTCAATAAATAAATAATTCAACCTGTGGCAAGTTAATCACTCTCTGAATCCTTAAGCTCTTCATTTTATAAATGGGAATAATACTAATAAACACAAAAGTACAACTGCTCAATAAATGATAGTTATTATTAAAGTATTAATAGATTGTATAGCTTAATAAAATATATTTTGATTGTGATAAGTTTTAGCACTACCTCATTCTTATTTTGGTTCCCTGGTATTCAATTTCAATAAATATTTTGTGTCCTAATAATGAATTTGACAACCAGAGTAAGAGGCAGGATTATTAGAAAAGAAGAAAAGCAACCTTATATTTTTGCCATAAATTAACTAATATAGAAAAAGTGACAAAAAATAAATCAGTAGCTACCTTCAGGTTGAATATTACAGGGCTTTGGATACCAAGACAACATTATTTTTTCATTTCATTTATTCATTCAAAATATTTAGTAAGTATTTATCACATACTAAGCACTGTGCCACATAGAGGGTATAGTGAGTAAGAAATAATTCTCTATCCTCAATTTTATATTCAATTAATAATCTATAACCATAAAATGTTAAAAGTACAGAACAAGTAAAAAAATTTTTAAACCTGAACTATTCATAACTCTTGAAATTATCACAGTGATTACTTGAATTATCTGAATAACTAAGGAGTCACCTAGTGGCATGTTATCACCAGCTTATAGCAGATGTTAAATTAAGAGTTTTGTATGTGAATTGTTAAATAAAGCTATTATTTAAAAAAGAACATTAAAAATTATTTTAATGAAATATAAGTAGATATCAATAAAGATAATATAAAATCACTTCTATAAAAAATTTCATAATAAACTAGAGAAAAACAATGGTTAATATACTGAGTATCATGAAATTTTAAATACTATCAAGCAAACTATATTTAAAGTAAAGCTAGTAAATACTCAAAATTTGTCATCTTCAGATTATTTTATTATTTTTACTACTATCCATGTACTTGAAATTATTTACATCTACTACAGTTGTAGTACTATGTAATGGTCAGCTATTCTGCATCTCCTGGCAACTCTCTTCTCTGGGAAATTACATTGGTATCTTCAGGGTAGAAGTATTTACATCACAAAAATCTTTAAACACTGCATGCCCCTCAAAGCTTGGTGCCTTATCAGAACATTTTATTTCCCTTTCAAAATACCTAATATGATTTTAAAATTTAGATTCAATTTCCTTGGGTGTATTAATTATCATTCCCTACCCTCTAATACAGAGGAAGTATACTGAATATATTTTCTTTCATCATTCTTGGACATCATTCTTCATCAATATGAACATCCATGATTACACAGGGCTATGGTATTAAGCTTAACTACCATGTACCCTAACTGAAAAATTCAGCCTATTAGGCTGTTAACTATTTTCTCTTATAGTAGATCAATGAGTCTTCTCATCAACTATCAAATGCTGCTAGGTTCTGGGTTTCAAAATCGAATTTCTTAGCATTGTAAAAAGACATTATCTCAAAGAAGGCATTTCTTATTATAAAAAGATTATTAACATTTAGAGTATAGGGCTGGGGATTTAGCTCAGCGGCATAAGCACCTGCCTGCAAGCAGGCAGTCGTGAGTTCGATCCCTGGTACTGATAAAAAGAAAAAAAAAAAAAAAACATTTAGAGCATAAACTTTATCAGCTCTATTTTCATTATCCCTGGCTTCTTATTTATTTCCTGGTTTAAGGTAAATTCAGAATAGGCAAAGTTTTAAGAAAGTTATCACACATATTATGTTGTGTGATTAAACCATGTCGATGTAAAAACTTAAAAATAAATACTTTAGCTCAGTCAAAACTGAATTTTAAAGAAATGCAAGATACTTACGAGAACACATAACACTGAAGAGAAGTTGAAACAACTAAGTGTGCATAGTTCAAAGATGCTTTAATGACTCTATCACGAAATTCTAATAAATCCACTGCATCATTAAGAACATTCCGAACCTACACAAATAAAAATGAAATATCAACAAACATTAAAACATCAAAATTTTAGGAAGTTAGCAAGATTCTAAAACACAAAAAAATTCAACACATTCTTAACTATCTAACCATATAACATTATAGTCAAAAGGTCTCTTAAATAAGTAAAAAGAGACTTTTAACCTTCAAGCCAAATGGAAGTTATAGCAAGGGAATGATAAAGTGAACTCTCAATGCTAAGACAGAATTAAAAGGTGGTGGCACAGAGAAGCTGGAAAGAAACTACATGATTTTTGCCCAAAATGGTAAGAAATCTCTTTTTAAGTTAGATTTTACTTTAAAATTTAGATACTAAAAAAAAGCCATATAAACCAAGTATGGTGGCACACATCTATAATCCCAACACTCTAGAGCCTGAGGCAGGAGGATTGTTGTGAATTTGAGGCTAGCCTGGGCTACAAAGTAAGTTCAAAGGCAGCCTCAACTGCATACAAGACCTTGTCTACAGAGAGAGAGAAAAGAGAGAGAGAAAAGAGAGAGAGAGAGAGAGAGAGAGAGAGAGAGAGAGAGAGAGAGAGAGAATTGCTTTAAAAATCAAACAAGTGAAAAAAGGTATTGATAAAGAAACCAGGGACTAGGGATACAGCTCAGCAGCATAAGTGACTAAGTGACTGCCTGGCAAGTGTGAGGTTGTGAGCTTGATCCCTGATACCAAAAACAAAAAAACAAAAAAACAAAAAAAGAAACCAACTACATATGAAGAAACCAAACTTCAGAAGGGATAAAAGTATTTACATATGTAAAAACACAAGAGATAATATATAAGGAAATTAAGCACCAGCTAACAAAGAGAAATTTGCCTGTGACACTTAAAATTGTTATAAAATCTTATATAGACTAATTTGCAAAAAAATTTAACAACTGGCAATATTGGTCAAAAATCTTGAAAATGGCAAACAGCAACAAATCAAGAAAAAATGTTGGGCAAGTTAATCTTAATTTCTGGTCAATATCAGATTGGATAATGCATTATAAAAAGAAAAACAATGTAATTATCCTTGTAAGTTAGTTCTTTAAATTCTCCTCAAAATGATATTTTTCTTTAAAACAAATATGATATAGTTCTAATAAACAATGAAAAGATATGGAAAGAAAAGTAGCAAGATAAACTCAAACTTTTTGTAAGTACTACTAGGCACTGCAAGGATATGAATTACTTTATGTACAAATTCACATATTGTAGGGTTTGGAAGCTGATTAGTATTTCTTTCAAGAACAACCTTCATGTCCTTATAAAAGAGGCCCTACAGGGCTAGCTTGCCACTTCCAAGTAAGGGCAAAGCAGGAAGACACCATCTATGAACCAGGAAGTGGACTCTCATCAGACACCAAATCTCATGGTACTTTGATTTTGGGCTTTCTAACCTCTAAAACTATGAGGAAAAAAGTTTTTCTTTTTTATAAGCTACTTAAACTATGATATTTTACTACAGTAACCTAAAAAGGTTAAGGCAAGTATATTATAGCTTTACTGTCTGTTCACCAATTCCTATTTTATCAAAATACTACAACCATAATTAAAGAGACAGAAAAATTATATGCATGTATACTCCTCAACCCAGCAATCTCATTTATACACTCCTATCCCAAAAAATAAACTATGAAGTAACATGTGCAGGCTATTCATCACAGCACAATTGGCAAAAGAAAAAGATTAAATACAGCCCTAATTGTGTACCAACATACTATGGAGCTGCAAAACATGATGAGGAAGTTGTATGGAGTGCCCATCCAGACATAAAGTAAAAATATAAGATGTAGAACAGTATAATACCTTCTATCTAAGAAAGTTAAAGATACAAATATACATAGATTTGCTCCTTTTGAAAAAAACAAATATTAACTAGTATTCATAAGACTAGAATTTACTTTTATTTTAAAACTATACTTTGGATGGTATAGGCAGCTATTTTGAAGATAACAAGAGGTATTATGGTAGTCATTGTTGATTTTCTATTAGCTTGTGTTGGAGTCCTGTATCGCTTTCATTGCTTTGTTTCAATTGGCTTTATTCTGCTTTATTTTCTTTGGTTTTATTTTCTTTAAAATACAAAAAGAAAAAACTACACTTTGGAATATAAATAGCATAAATAATGTCTTCAGAAACCAAAATTTTCTTGTAAAACAGTCACAAGTAAAAATATGAAGAGTAAAACTGTAAACACAGAAACCTCAGTATAAACTCATGATATATTTTTATTTATCAAAACCAGAAACAATTTGTCTAGGAGTAATTATCACATCAGTAGCAAGGAGCACATGCAGCACCCAACTGTGGTCTCTACATGACACCTCCAGGCCCCCAGCAATGGAAGGAAGGCTTTCCTAGGAAAACAGCTTGTTCCAAGTATGGAGAGCAAGTAGCAAACGGACAAAAGAAACCTGGAGCATCTTGTTACACCAGAAAGCAATAAAGATACTGAAATCATATCAGAAAGAATATAATAGCAACTGTCCAAAGATGGAACATTATGAACATTATAGAATAATGACTGCAATGAATTGAAACACATTATTATAAAGTTGCAATACAGGAAGAGAGAAATGAGGATAAAATTGAAATGCATATTTATAGTTTTCCAGACAACAGACTTAGAGCTCAATGCTCAACTATTTAGATGATTTCCTTTTAGGGAAAGGGTATGGTTTTTTTTTTTCAAACATATATGCAATAGCTGAATTTATTAAATAGTGCATTTCTGAATCATATTCACATGAATAGGGGTATGTATATGTGACAAGGTACACCCAAAGATTCTTGCCTTTTATTGTTTGTACCCTTTTGTAAATCTACTTGCTTATGGATTGCACTTAGTAGCTTCCTACTAAATAGAATATGGTAAAAATGATGAGATGTCGCTTCCGATTTCAGTTAAAAATAAAAAGCATGACTTACATCTTGCCTGAACACTCAGGCTCTTCTTGCTTGCTCTGATAAAGCAAGTTACTAAGTTGGGTGCTGCCATCTGGGAAGTCCTTATACAAGTAACAAGGACATTTCCCATCAACAGCCAACAAGAAACTGAAACCTTCAGTGCAAAAGACAACACTGAAATGAATTCTGCTAACAATCATGTCAGTAAGTCTGAATATAAATCTTCCCTTCTTTAAACTTTTACTTAAGACTAAGTCCTGCTAATATCTTCATTACAGCACTGAGAGGATCTGAGCCAAATAAGCTAATAATCCATGCCTGACTGATGGAAACAGAGAAATGACAAATGCTGCTGCTTTGAGCCACGAAGTTTTGGGGGAGATTATACAACAATAGATTAATGGAGACCATATAACTGCTAGACAACCAAATGACAGACTACATTGCTATATTTTTTGTCTTCCCAGAATCAAATTATACCATTTATAGTAAATATACTGTGATTATCCTTTGGGCAACAATTCCTTCCACTAAAGTATTTCAAATGTAGTAAACCAACTTCCTCATTTTCCCTCAACCAAATACATATGAAATATAAGGCTGAGACATCTGCTGGAATTAGTGGGAAGAAACAGAGCTACCAAAGCCCCAAGTAGAAAAGGCTTTTCTAAAAATGAAGTCAGTTACAGAGAAGAGGAGACTGGAAGAAGAAGTGAAGTAGTGTTGACACCATTCAAGCCTCTGAACCAAGAGTACCTCAAGTCAGTAATCTCATGACTTCACATCAACCAGTAAGTTTCTTTCTATTCCTTCATTTCTCACCTAAATTAAAGATTTTCAAGACACTAACCTAGAACATCCATAAGGACAAGAACTAAACCTTTTTTATTAATTACTGCATTCCCCAGGGCTTACCAGTGATGGTGAACCTTTTTGAGTCCAAGTGTCCAAACTGCAACCCAAAACTAGCTCATTTATTGTAAAGTGTCAACACTGCAATTAAACCTGAACACTGAGGTTTAAGTTTAGAAAAAGTGTTATCTGACAAACAGCTGCTGGGATGACATGGTTCTCATGGCAACAAAGATGCCTTTGCCTTCTGTGGTACACCTGCTGTAGAGTCTCCATCACTGGCTCAGCACACACCGTTCACTCATTAAGTTTCTATTGAATGAGTGAAATTAATCTGAGAAAAAACATTGAATAGGTCTAATTTAACAAAAAGGGAAACAAATGCTTTATAATTATTGATGTAAAATCCCTCTATAAATCCAAATTTTCTAGTTCTAAAACTAAGAAACTACTTACAAACAATAAGCACAATTTGGATACAATAAGCCTTCTAAAAACCTCCACAGTTCATCTTATCTCATGTAAAATCCCTCTAAGTCATTAGGATAATTTCTTTTTGTTTTGAAAGAAAGTTCCTCTTTCTATATATATTCTCATCTTTGGACATTTCTAGTTCCTATGCACTATAGGAATATAAAAATTATGTCCCAAATCAGTTGATTGGAACTCACAATTCATTCTTTGTCATAGGCACAATAAACAGCTAGTTTTGGTTCCTAGGTTAAACAAAAGAAATATATATTTACATAAATATCTAGATCCAACTATTGATTTTCAGGAAATCTGGAAGACAGACATATCAATCCATGCCATAGCAGGTTGGAGATATAGCTCAGTCATAGAGTGGTTGCATAGCTTGTATAGGACCCTACATTTGAGCCCTAACATTGAAAAAACAAAACAAAACACACCATGAAGATAAAATTAGCAAAGTTCAGACTATGAAAGCTGTACTGGACAAGGCATTTGGTTTCTTCAGCGAATAAAACACCGGGCTATAAACAGATAACTGGGGAAACTACAGATGAAGACCAGCTTAAAAAATACATCAGCCTGGTTATAATTATTTGAATCTTGATTCAAATAAACAAAATTGCAACATGTAAGAGACAACTGAAACTCTGAACACTTTATGGATATTTGATAACTCTAAGGAATTATTTTATAAAGGTAGGATAATGGTATTGTTACGTCAAAACAAAAAAAAAGTCTTCATCTTTTAGTTTTAAACACTGATTTTGGCGGTGAAAGGGGTGCCAACAAACCCGGTGCCTCATGTGTATTAAGCAAGCACTCTACTCCGGAGCTCCATCCCCATCTCCTATACTGAACTTTGTACAGACAATGTCTGATGATGCACAGAATATGAAGTTTCTTGAAAACAACTCGGAAAGGAAAAAAATAGACATGGATTTGAATGGGGCAAATGCACCTGGGACTGGGCCATCAGCACATGGAGATTCATTGTACCATTCTGTGTGTGTTTTATATTCTCCAAATACAAAGCCTTAAACTTTTTAAACAAAAAAATAAAAGGACAATTATAATGAAACTATTATTAATCTGGTGACCATACTGTTCAAATTTAGAAATCTGGATTCTTGGACTAACAAAGTTATTTGATAAGACTTGCCATGAAATGATACTTTTTCAATTTTTGTTTTTGGTGCTAGAAATCAAACTCTTGACCTCATGCTTGCCGGGCAGGTGCTTTGCCACTGAGTGATATCCTTGGCCTACAATAGTAATTATGAATACTGAAGACAGAAGCAACTGATAGGACATAAGAAAAGAAACAAAAGCATCCCTCTGTCTTCAACAGAGGATTGTGGTGGTAAGTTATCTTTGGCCTACTCCTCATAGTTTTTTCAATTAATTTTTAACATATTTATGGAAAATTCATTATAGCCAAGACACTGGACTAGTGTAAGCCCTACAGGAAAAACAAAGATGAGTGAAATGTAACATCTGTGTCCTTAGGAACCTTACAACTGAGTAAATAACTGACCACTATTCTCTGTAAATATTTCCCTCATCTCCCCCTGCCATGTCTCAACCTCTCGATATTCATCTGTGAAGTATTTCACTTTCGAATAACAACACCTTGGAGTATACTCATACCTGCATGGTTCTTCTTTTAGTTAAGGTCACTTGAAAATTTTTCCACTCCCAACGTTGCTCCACCACATGTGCAAAAACAACATGGCCATTTCCACAGGCTCCAGCAATCTGAGTGCCATCAACTGACCAGGCAATATTAAATATGCTTCCAGTGTTAGGTTTTTCTAAAGCATATGACCACTAAGTAGAGAGGATACAAGAGAAAAACTAATTAGTCAAAAAAAATTAGGAAGCTTTTTAATTGAGCACATGTTAACATAATTTTTAAGAAAATGTATCTTTATCTGGAATTTTTTTTTTTTTTTTGTACTCTCAACCTTGCACTTGCCAAGCAGGCGCTGGTGCCACTGAGCTAAACCCCCAGCACTATGTGGAATTACTGAAAATGGTTTCTGTTTGTTTTTTGAGACAGGGTTATATTGTTCAGGCTGCCCTTGAATTCATTATATTCCCAGGCAGGTCTCAAATTCACAGAGATCTTCCTGCCTCAATTTTCTCAGTGCTGAGATTATAGGTGTGTACCACCATGCCTAGCTTGAAAATTTTTTTATTAATATTCACTAATAATTATAACTTAAAAATTGTTAAAGAACATTCACATAAAATTTTTTTCATAATCAAACTATGCTGATAAAGATTTTTTTTTTATAGGTACCAGGGATCGAACTCACAACTGCCTGCTTGCAAGAAAGGCAGGTGCTTATGCCGCTGAGCTAAATCCCCAGCCCCAATACAGATACTTTTAAGGTATAGCAAAGAAAAACATAATAAAACAGTACATGAAATGTCTCAAGAATTGTTAGAACACACATTATTTCAGTTTATGATTACTTATAATAATATAGAAAAATAAGCAAAAATTCTATAGAAGACAAGACATCTTACATTTTAAGGTTCTCTATAGCCTGTATGTATAAAAATTCTGGTTACAACATTTCAAGGATATAACTAACACTGAAACTAAACCTGCAATATAACTAAAATATTTCCAACAAGTATTTCAAATTATGCAATTACAGATAAATGAATTATTTTGTTTCTTTTTAGAATGCAGTATGAACTGTCCTAAAATGCATCTGCCTGAGAAAATTATCTAGAAACCAGTAAGCATCAACTAAAACAAAAGAAATTCTTAAGTGTATATAAGACAGCGAGAAAAAAAATGAAACTTTTTGATAAATGATATTGGCTGCATTTTCTTTGATGCAACACATACTTGCTAGAAGGATAATTAATTTATTTGACAAAACCTATATATACAGTCTCTTTCCATTCTTCCAAACTTATACCCTATAGTCAAATTAAGTCTTAAGGTTGTTGTTGTTGCATTTAGTTCAGTATTTTAAAAATTTTGCTTTATATTACTACTGTTTCAGAAATAGCCATTACTGGGGGCTCTAGTTCAACAGAAGAGCACATAATTAACATGTATGAAGCCATGGATTCAATCCACAGTACAGAAAAAAGAAGGAAAGGACAGAGGAAGGAAAGAAAGAAGGAAGGAAATTCACTATTATGGGATCACTTTAACCACAAATGTAGAACAAATTTTAAAGGTACAGGGAAAAATTCCCTAATTCATATAACTATAAAACAAGATTTTCAATTCTTCAGGAAGGTTCATACACAAAATAAAAATATTAAATGACTTTTACAACTCACTGACACTATTTTTCAACTTTCCCATCTCTTTGAATTCCTACCTGTTGCTTAGATCACTTAAAAGGCCTATTAATAAAGTTATCAAAAAAAGGTAATAAGCAAACTATAAATTTTGCTTCCTAAGCAAGATTAAAATATTTAAGCCTTCCTTTTCTGAAATTACAAATAAAAAGACAATATGTAACACTTGAAACTATTTTTTGGAGTATTAAACAATCTCCTGTGTATTTTTTAACTCTTACTTTTATTAGCCATGTTTGTAGTAGATAATATATTTTTAAAATTAATAAAGACTGGCCTAGGAATGGTGGTCCATGCCTGTAATTCCAGCACTAGGGAGGGACTGAGGCAGGTGGATTATTGTGCGTTCAAACCAACTTAAGCCACAAAGTGAGTTCAAGGCCAACGTGAACTACCTAGTGAGACCCTGTCTCAAAAAAACCAAAAAAATTAATTAATTATAATAAATTTTTAAAAGAGGACTGAGAACTTCAAAGCTAAAAGTAATCTGCTGCTAGAAATAAAAAAATTAATTCATTTGTGCTTGACAAGCAAGAATTATTTACTATAGGGCTACTATTAATACACAAAGATTAAATGTTCTTGATACAGACAAATGAAACTAGATTTATTAATATATTCTATTTAATGGTTTAGACCAGATTCATGTACACCTCTCATTCTAAGTCTGGTCTGCTTCATAGTGTACTGTAGATAGAATAGACATCTTATTTTAACTTGTATTTTTAAAGCATAGATTCCTATTTTTAGACTATTTACTTTAAGGTATGGCTTTAAAATATTCAAAGATGACTGAATATATAACTCAGTAGTAGAGCCCCTTCCTAGCATGATTCAATCTCTATGACTAAAAAAATAAAAAGCATACATACACACAAAAAAAACCTCACCCAAATAATTCAGTCAGAAAGAAAATGTTTATTAAAATTGTACATACTTACACAAGAAATTTGAATTATCCTAAGAGAAAAATGGTAAATTTTAAAGATAATGGGACTGAGGATTTAGCTCAGCAGCATAAGTGCCTGCCTTACAAGCACGTGGTGGTGAGTTCAATCCCTGGTACCAGTTTAAAAAAAAAAATCAGCATCTTGTATTCCTTTCATCTCTTCCATACTCCACACAATTAAACAAAAACAAAATATACAACATGCAACTTATTCTAAAAACAAATTTCAAGAAGTACAACAGTATGATGATGGGGAAGTTAAGTTTTTACATTTAAATTTTTTAAAGCTGTAGTTTAAATTTTAATTTAAATGTAAGAATTCTAAACTTGGGGCTGGGGATTTAGCTCAGCAGCATAAGCGCCTGCCTTGCAAGCAGGCAGTCGTGAATTTGATCCCCAGTACCAATAAAAAAGGAAAAAGACAAAAAAATAATAATAATAATAATTCTAAACTCAAGGGATTTTTTTATTCTAATAATTTAAAAATATATCAGCAAAATTTAATCAATGTAAAAGAGATCTTTAATATTTACTAAATTATCTAATAAATAAATTGGTGGCTGAGCATGATGGTGCATGCCTGTAATCCTAGCATCTGAGAGACTAAGGCAAGAGGATCACCATGAATTCAAGGTCAGCCTGGACTACATAGTGAGGTCAAGGCCCATCTGAACTGTATCCTGAGACCCTGTCTCAAACAAAGAAACAAATAATTTTCATTGGTAAGTTTAAAAATATGTATTTATCATTTGTACTTCTTCATTTCTGATGGACTCAGGGATTAAATCCAGGGCCTTTCCCATGCTAGAAAAGCATGAGCTATAGTCCCAGCTGTTATTTTTGCTTTTGTTGATTGACTGATTGATTTTTATGTTTTATTTAGTACTGTGGGTTGAATCCATGGGCACTCTACCATTGAACTTCATCCTCAGCACCATTTTTTATGAGTCTCAAACTTGTAATCCTTCTGCCTCTGCCTCCTAAAGAGCTATAAGAACAGGTATTCAGTATCCCACTATGCTAGGCTTTATTTATACTTTTAGGAGATTTTAACATTGTAAGTCTTGTCTTTTTCCCAAATATACCACAGAATATTTTTTTCACATTTGCATTATCACTTCTAGGAGGGAATGAGTGAATTTTAGTGACACTGGCAAAATACAAACAACAAAAATGAATTTTTTAAACTATCCCTTTGGATGAGTCTGAGAACACACAAATCCTCCGGTTAGCATGTTGGTACAGCAGAAGTAGGAAGGCCATGGTGACCTTTTCCCCACGCTTCTCCCAAGGTAGGAGAAATGCGTCCTGCTCCAATACTGGAGGTTATCACAAACACACAGGACACAATGAAGAAACTGAACAGATTTTACTAAATGTTACACTTCAGGAATGGTTTGAGTGTCCTCCAAGACTTCATGCAATGAAATATCCCCACTGTGAGATATTACCAGTATGGAAATGCAGTATCTTTAGGAGATGATTAGGATTAGACAAGTGTCATGGTTTATGTCTGTGGCCCCCAGGCCTCGTGAGTTTGCATTGTGCATTTGTGATGGTTCATTGGCTAGTGTTTAGATTGATGGTATCAGTGCTACACCCACAAAGGGGTGGAGCCAGGATGTAATGTAATGGCAAGAAGAAGGCGTGTCTTGCTCTTTGCTGGTTCCTGCTTGCTGTTTGCAGCCACCATGAACTGCGGCCCAGCCATGCCCTCCTGCCTTGGAGCCAAATGAGTGTGGACTGAAACCTCCAAAAACTGTAAGAAATAAATCTTTCCTTTTCCAACTTGGGCTTCAGTTATTTTGTCTCAGCAACAAGTAAAAAGACAACAAGGTTACTAGGACACAGTTCCTGTGACTGAACCCTGGACTTTACAAGGAGACCAACAGATACACACATGAACACGTTCTTCTTGACCCGTGCCATATGATGCCCTGAACTCTGACATGAAAAATACCATCACTAGATGTGGCCCCAATACCTTATATATCCATAATCACGAACTGAAATAAACCTATCGTCTTTCAAATGTACTCACTCTGTATTATCACCAACAGAAAACAGACCAATACACTCAATATCCTCTCATTTTTTAACATTAGATCAGACGCCCTGATCTAATCCTATTTCTCCATGACTGTCCACTCATAATCAAACCCAGGCATAAAAACAGACTGCTGTTTCTTGGGTTTTTCTGAAGGCTTCCATTATGTGTAAGACTAACATTAAATCGTTATTTTTTTTTCCTTGTGAACCCATCTTTTGTTATAGGGTCCCCAATCATGAACCTAAGATTGGGACGAAAAAGATTACTTTTCCTGCCCTATACTCTGACTTATGCTTATCTCCCTCTTTAACCAAACTATTCCTTACTTCAACAAATTACTTAAACCCTATATGGGTTAGCAGCTTCTGTATTGCCTCTGAACTTATTAAAAATGCAAATTTATGGGCTCTACCCCAAACTATTAAATCTGAAAATCTAGGAATGAGAAAAAGGAAGCATTCAAGGAATTCTTGAGATCACACTTGCACACATAACATT